CAAATCTGAACTACAGCACGGTGGGATGATAGCGCGGCCCCAACAGACTGGGGGTAGGTATGGATGTATGGATGTACAGTAGGTATGGATTGTACTAGGGTATGGATGGATGTACAGTAGTGGTGTAGGTAGTGTGTGCTTGCAGCCAAGCGGCAGCAACCGGTTCTGAGTCCTGACCACGGTGATATCTTTCTTACTCCCTCGACAGTGGGTGCAGCAGCTTAGAAGCGGGAGCGGAGACGAGCGAGTGGTGTCGTCCAAGTCCAAGCCACTAGGAGATATGTCCACTGCTGGATTTCGTGGGGAGTACCGTAGGTAGGTGGGTAGTAGGTACAGTAGTGGCAGCACACACACACACACACACACAAACACACAATCGATGCCGACGGCGGAAAGACAAAGGGACTTTGGGACTTGGGACTTGGGACTTGGTATTTGGAGATACAGGACCTAAGGGAAAGGTTGTGCGTGGGTGTGAGAGTGGCTGGACCCTTGAGCCTTGTCCATGGGCTGTTGTTGGAAAGACCGATTGCTGACTAGCCGGGGGCGCGCGCGCGCGGTTGTCTTTATCTCCCGCCCACAAGCGAATTCGGCCGTCTTTGGCACGGCCAGCACTCGAAACGGTGCCAGTGTGTGCAACAACAAGCGCTCGCCCTGGGCCAGGTGTGTACGGCTCCCGGCTCTCACGCATTCCTCTCGCTGCTTGCTTGCTTGCTTGCTTGCCGCTTTCTACTTGGGGGTTTCTATTGTTGGCAGCAGCCTGACACAACACGCTTGCAGGAGAGCACCCTGCTCCCTCTTTTGACTTTGCCCACTACCAAAGAAAACCGAAAAGAAGAAAAATGAGAGGGCGCGGCGGGTGCTGACGGCTCGATGCAGCCAGCAGCAATCAGCAACATGTCCAGAATGCTCTCTGCCAACCCAGGCCAACCCACATGGGCCCATGGGCTGACCAGACCTGGCACACCAACAAGGAACATGGAGCCGAACAGGCCCGTGGAGTGCTTCGTAAAGCGAATTTGCCTTTATCGCTCTCCTTGCTCGAGCGAGAAGAGCAAGACCCAAACACGGTTTGCGTTTGATTTGCCAGCACGGGTTGCCAGGCCGGTTGCTGCCCCCCCCCCCCCCCCAGAGAAGCGAGCAAGCAGGCAGGCAGGACAGGCAAGCAAGCAAACAAGCAAAGCAAGCCCCAAGGCCAAAAAGCAACGCTCAAGCCAGGCAGCACCGACGTCCGGCCTCTGGACGCACGTGCGGCAGCTGAAGCGAGAGACGTGATGTCATATTCATTGCGCAATTCCATCAAGGCACTTGTCTTGTGTAATCACTACATGATCCTACGCTATCTACTATACCTCCTACTCTACCTTGAAAGCGGGTGTTCTTTGAGAAACTAAGCAAGCCTAAGCGCTTCCGTCTGGTCAAAAGCCATGGTCGCTCTCAACCACACTAGACGGGTACCTACTCTACTCTATCTAAGGCCCCTTGTTCCAATGGACGATAAGGGGGGGGGGGGGTGTATGTGTGTGAGGGTGTGTGCGGCTTTGTCCCCCCTCGGCCGCCCGCGACGCGCCCAGTGTGAAAGACTCGCGTTTTCGGGGCGGTCCAAGGTAGCAGGATCGCCGGTGCCGCTTGCCGCTTGGGAAGAAAAAAAAGTTGGAAAAGTACTGTTCATAGTAGGAAGAGACGGAAAGGGCGGTCGAGGTATTGCCAATGAAAACAAGGCAAGCACAGTGTATGCTAGGCCGGATTTGGGATACCGTTCAGCGCCCCTCGCACCCCTCGCACCCCTACCCAGTGCCCTCCCCCTCCCCCTCCCCTTGTGCCTTTCTCCATCTGTTGAGTGGCTTGTGAGGCGCTCGCAAAGATAGCCTCAGTGTCCAGAAAATACAAATTCGTGTCCCGGCGAACTGTACGGCACCATTCATCCTCTCCAGTGGTAGTGTGCATAGTGTACTTATGTGAGCCCCTTCCCCCTGCAGTCTCCATCTCCACTGCCATTCACATGGGCGTCGTTTACGGTGTGCACGAGTAACACGATAATGCCCCCGCCCTGTGATCGGGTGCCATCAGGATGCTGCCAACTGCCCACTGGGAAACTCGATGCAGGATGGTTACGACTCACCGACGGACGGCCCTTGGCCCTTTGCCAGCCAACAGGTCCTGTTTCATGCTCGTATGGTAATGCTCCTACTGTTCCTACTGCGCCTACCTGCCATGGTACCGTACCGTGGATGGGTATCAGCACAAAGTAGATAGATGTCGAACCTTGCACAGCTTGAAACGCCCTCGATTGGCTGTGCAGGCCGCCGTTGTGAGGGGCTTCAGATTTCCCCGCATTCTCTACACAGTAGCTCCGACGTGAATGTTGCGCCTGCTCGACGCGTGCATACCACCAATGACAAAGTCTCCGCCTCGAGTTGAGTGGACAGGCCCGTCTGCACGTCGAGGCACTCGAAGCTTCATGGCTGCCATGCGACCGCTCTCGAGTCGTACTCTAGCTAGGTATTTTACTCTAGCAAAGACGCTGCGCAGAGGCCCGCCCATTCCTCTGCCCGCCGCAGACGCCCACTCTGTTTCATCCTCGTTCTCCCATCTCGCTACTCGCTCTCTACTGCTACAGGATATGTGTGTGTGTATGTGGGCTGAGGTGGGTCGACCTGTCTCAGATGGCTTGGATCATGGCTTCGACCCATGGTATTATACCCATCCGTTTTCGCAGACGGAAATCCACCTCTCTCTAGCCAAAACAAGAACATCCACCAGCGTTTTCACGATACTCTGCTGGACTCGACGGACCAAACTTTACTCGGTCGCACATGACTAGATCATCTATCCCTTATCCTTATCTTTGTCATTCTCATCAGCAACACGATTGAGACGAATGCGGCAGGGGAGAGGGTCACAGCAACACAAGCAATCAATCAATCAATCAATCAATCAAACCATGGTTGGTACTGTACTCTACACGGTAAGCCAAAAGCAATGGCATTCCGAATAGATTCGGATGAGAAGCTCAATGCTGGGCTTGCATCGTCTTCGCAATATCCATCCCCATCCTGCCGCCATGATGAAACGTCTCCTCTGGACAGGGATGGTGGCCAGACCCCAACCCTCCCATGGCCACTAGGCCCCGTTCGTGTCGACCGTCACCTGTCATGGCCAACCCCACTTGGGTCGTGCCAGCCGTCAGACTGAGATTTTGGGGGGGGGCAGAAAAGAGGGGTGGGTCGTCTCCGGGCCACTCAGGATCGGCCAATGCCCGCTGCCTTGCTCACCGCCCAAGCCCCCTGTCCGACCATCCCGCCTCGAACCAACGATCCACGCTCGATATGTCGATCTCTGGCTGATAAACTAGCGGGGCTTTGGCCAGCTCGCTTGCACGCTACGCTCCTTCCCGAACCACTCTGCACACATGGCTATCGTGGGCATCATGGACAGCATGACTGGCAATTTACTCTTATGCTCGCTTTGCTGTCCATGACAGCCAAACACGACCTGTCCGGCATGTCTCCATCCAGGCCTCATATGACTTTGTATCCTTACCTCGCCGCAGCCGCCCGCTGCCGGCGCGTCGCTTCAACATGGCCGTTGTGCTGACAGCCGCTTCATGATGCAATTTGTACGAACATGCGATACCGGGACTGCCAGTCCATTGCATGACCAGCATCGACATTACTAACATGCACCATCGACGACCTTCTCTCACTCGGGATTCAAGGATTCCGCAAACCAGCCTGCTCAGTCACCTATCTGGCCGACGAGCGCGGCGCCGATACCCGAAATTCTTCGGCCACCCAGTGGCATGGCCCTGCAGCTTACCATCAGAAATTAGAATGCCATGTTCGCAGCCAGTGGGAGTACGAGTCATTGCCTCTTGCACGCCCATCAAACTCGAACAGGACAGAGTACTCTGTACACATGCAAGTAAGAGAGGATACCAACTGCAGCGACTGTGCTCAACAAGCGTCATGGCCAAAGTCTCAGTGCAATCTGACGATGGCATCGGGAAATTGGGGATCAGCGAAATGCAAAAGTTCGAATCTGCGTCCCCACTCGCATAGCAATTTTACCCCTCGGTTCCACAACCACCACTCGCTGCTGAGTCCTGCCGCCCGCGGTGCCAACATGACGATACATGATGTCAGCAACACCAGAATGCGCACAAAAAGAACCCTCTCGTCTCACGCATACGATGCCTCTAAAAGGAAAATCCACGTACCACACACGCGGCTACGGCTGCTTTGTCAGCCCAGGCTCTCACCGCTATCTGACTCTGCGATCATCGAGAATGGGTTGGAAGACAGGTTCCGCATGCCATCGCCTTCCCGAGCGATCATGAGCACGATTGAGGGCGGGGCTCGTGGTCACGATGGGAAGCAAGGGAAGAAACAGCCGTGGCAGCCGCACAGTCCGTGCTCCCCCAGAGGGACCAGGGGGTGGCCAAGAAACCACACACAGCCTGGGAATCCCCAAAGCAGCAATCCATCGACAGAGCAAAGACCAAAGGCCCGATGAGACAATTAACTTTGTTCGCACCTCTATGCTAGCAAAGAAGAAAATATCACCCTTCAACCACACCGCTTCACCGTCAGCAACACTTTTCCCCACGACATCGCATCGCATGACGTGCGTCTCTCCCTCTCATTCTCTTTTTGCCCCTCCCCCCAGAATCTCCCCCCAAGACAAAACAACCCAAACAAATCCCCACGATCGCAATCTCAATCCCCACCCCTCAACAACCCCCCAAAACGGGCCTTATCCCACACCAGTCCTATACCCAGCCCGCCCATGCACTCGCACCTTTTCCGCACAAGAATAGGCCCGGTTAGAAAATATAAACCCCACCCCGTGCATGCGTACTGTACATTTGTTCTTGTTCCGCTTTGGCTTGATTCCACTCTTCTTGATTGCAATCTTGTGCACCCCCTGCCTTTTGGATTCACGGGCATGTGTTTGTTGGCTTGTAGGCTGGGAATTGGGTGTTGTGCTGTTTTGCTTGCTGTGTGGACGGTTTTTAGAGTGTGGGGGGTGGGATGTGGTGATGTGGTGATGTGGTGATGTGGTGATGTGGTGATGTGGTGATGTGGTGATGTGGTGATGTGGTGATGTGGTGATGTGGTGATGTGGTGATGTGGTGATGTGGTGATGTGGTGATGTGGTGATGTGGTGATGTGGTGATGTGCAGTGGTGGGGTTGCGTTGTGGTGTTGTGCGTGGCCAAGCTTTTTGGGTGGGACTTGTGCTGGTGCTGGAATCTTCGTGTTTGGGATACGTGGGCAGGCGTGGTAGGTAGGTAGGGTTAAGGAGGATGCTGCGTGGTAGGGGGATGGTATGTCACTCATGTGTTGTCCTGGATTCTTTGTGGGGGGTTTTTTTTTTGCAGAGATTAGAGAAGGGGAGGGGGGATAGAAGATGCGAGATGGAAAGCGGAAGAGCAGGAGGATTTGGAAAAGAGATGGATAGCGGATAAACAATTAAGAAAATTGGATTCGGAGAAAATGGAGAAAATAGAGAAATAAAAAAAAAAAAAAACTAAAAAGCAGAAGATAGAAAATACAAAATAAACACATTTTGCACAAAACGTTTGCAACGAAAAATGCAAGCTAGGAAAAGTTAAACTGTAAACTTTGGAAGGAAAAAATTTAGATTTCCTGATTTGTTGTCATCTCCATTGGAAGATTAACTTGCATAGCCCCAGCCCTAGTGAACCCAGCGAGCCCAGTGGACTTGGACTTGGATTTAGACTTGGACTTGACGGCGAGATCACGCTCCTAAAAGCAGTAAATTTCCGTCTTCCATCTTGCACCATGCGTCTTCAAGTCTGCAGGGTTTTCCTAACAATGTGGTAGGTATAGTAGGTATTGCAGATTTATCACGCTTTCTTCTCGTGTGCTTTTCGTGTCCTTCTTGGAGACCTAGACTACACAAACTATTCACTTACCCACTTACCCATCTACCCATCCGCCATACCAGCCTCGAAACCATATAAGCCTAGGAGATGTGGTGTGGTAGTTGTACTGTAGTAGCTAGTATTCTATTACCTAGTACTCTAATAACTATCAGCCTAGTAATTTTCTTTCGTGTGATGGAGGTGGAGAGGTGGGTGTTTGCCGTATGGATTGTATCCTATCCTATCCTATCTCCTATCCTATCTATCCTATCCTATCTACACACACATACACACATATCTTACTAACAGCCAATCCCTAGACCTTTTAGATCCCCTAACGAACTAAATACCTACCGTATTTATATTTCATACACAGCACATTCGTATACTACATTTATTAATAGGTGTATGGATACCATCTCGCTCACCTAGTACAGCACTATTGATATACTACTCCTACTCTAGTCTAGTCTAGTCCCACCCAGTCTAGTACAGTACCGCAGCGTCCATATCCTAGATTCTCTACCCACCACTAGAAACAGCAATACCGCAATCCGGTAACCCGATTCCTACACTAGGTAACATGCTGTATGGATGAATTCAACCCTCTAATATACTACTACGCCGTAGTACCGTACTTGTAATGTACCTACCATCGCCACCCCCCCAGACGTAGATTGCACAGGCATACGGTACTGTACTGTACCTATCACTATCCTGTCCTGGCCTGGTGTCTATGCTGCGGTGTAGTGCTAATACTTGCTTGCGGTGTTGGGTATACGAGGGTTACACGGCGTTTAGGCTGGGGTGTTTGTGGAGGGGGTTGGAGGGGGGATTGGGGGATTGGGGGATTGGGGTGATGGACTGGACTGGACCGGGCTTGGCTGGGGGGGAATGGATGGTTAGGTGGGTGTGGGTGCACGACTTGGGTGTGGCGAGGAGGAGTTTGGTATGTGTGTGGGTGGCGGGATGGGAGGGTTGTTGGGTAAAAGGTTATTAGGAGTGGGAAGGAGAAACGGTGTAGCGGCTTCTAGATAAGATTACCAGTACTACACCAGACAACTGCTGTTGTGGCTGATTGTGCCTGTAACAGTACCATGTATACTCTACTACAATACATACGCTACCCTCCCAACAACACTCCCCCTCCACCCATCCCAACACTGCAAACTTCCGCTCTTGACCCAACAACCTCGTCCCCACTTTTCCCCCGCCAAGCATGCCGTGCAGCGCTGAAGCGAGTCGCTCGAGGCGAAGATGCAGATTGTGTAGCCTCGCCTCGTCTCGCCCGTGCGTGCGTGCGCGCGTGCGTTGCGACAAGTGAAGATTGGGAAATTGGGAATTCGAGATTTAAAATAGGATGGATGCGAGCGCGTGGGGCGGAGATGGGGTGGGGTGGTGTGATTTGTAGGTAGGATTGGCGGCTGGGGATGCAATTTGCCATGTTGAGGTGGGAGTTTGTGCTGTTGTGTTGGGAGGGTTTGGAGGGTTTGTGTGTTGTTGTATTGTGCGGTATGGTATTGTGCGGTATGGTATGGTATGGTATGGTATACGGTATACTACACGGAATGAGGTACCGTCTTGAAGATGACGCCATCCAAGCCCGTCCTGAAGAACCATCAAACTCAGCTCAACACTTCCCCTCCCCCTCCCCCACCATCACCATCACCATCACCATCACCATCCATCCAACCAACCTAACAAAACCACCCATCAAACCACCCCTCCCCTCCCAAAACCCCTCAATGCACCTCACTCTCCTCCCAACCGCCAAAACCCCCACCGTCAACCTCCCAACACGCCATGCACGATTCGTCAGCTTCCGAGCGGCAAATCCTCAACAACAAAAAATTCATCTTCCCCTCCCCCCCCTCAATCCAAACTACCCAACGCCACACCGCAGCTCGAAACAGCAGCTCGCCCTTGTTCTCCCACACCCCTTCTTTTTCGAGTCTATACCCTGGTCTATCGTTGAACCGGCCTACTTGACTCGGTAATGGTAAGCTTGCTGCTTGCTGCTTGCATACAGGGTCTGCTTGGTCTGCTTGGTCTGCATCTATCTGCCACCATAGTAGGCAGCTATGCCACCCCATCCTCGCCCAACAACGCCCTCGAGCAACGGTGCTGGGGAAATCGTGCACAGCTAGACGCCAAAAGAGCTTCTTCTGCGGACCGCTGATTACACACGGGCATCGGAATGGTAGTGTACGTACTGTGCGCACGCATTCGCCCTCGCTAGCTGCGTCAGCGCGTCAGTGGCAGTACCTGCTACCGTACTTGAAAGAGGCGGGGAGATCTGGTGGAGGCAGGATCTTGCGCCTACGTGCACGGCCACTACTTGGCGACTATTATACACGGGCATGCCGGAGACTACAGTAGCAACTGAGCGAGTACTAGGTAAGTAGCTCGCTGGCTCAGGCCCGTTGAACTTGATCTGGTTCTAGTATCTACTCAGGACGTCTTGAGATCCCATCACATCCCCTAACCCTCGTGCACACCGTGGCCAACGCTGATCCCCACGCCCCCGCCAAACTCACCCCGTTGTTTTCCCTGCATATCCTAGATGACGACGGCCATGGCGATCAGGGTCCATTTGCCCGCCCGTCTTGTCGTGGCTTGGAAACTACTACTATATTGGTATCCCTTTTTTTTTGAGCGTTGAGAAGGGGGTGTGGCAAGGGTTGGTAAACGGGTTGTTTGAGAGATGAGAGGTGGGGATTACTTGCTTTGTTACGTTTGGGTTTTGGTGTTTTGGGGGGCTGGGGATTGTTGGATTGGAGGTGTGTGTGAGGGATTGGAGTTGGAGGGGGGGCGGTGTGGTGTAGTGATTGTATTTTCTCCTTAGTTTTTTAGTTTACTTTACTGTTGCTGTCTATTACACTCCACTTCCTCCTCCTATCCATCTATCCATATCCTTGCTCCTATAGTATGCAGTACTTCCTCCCCCTCCCATTCACCCCGCTCTCCACGCAGCAACACATACTAGCACTTGTTGAGAGTGGGCCTCTATCCCGCATTCCCCCCCTCTAGAATTGCACGCCTTGTGGTTGTAGCAATAGGTGGCTGTGGAGATGGGCTTAGCTATCGAGACGGTAGTAGTATTTACAGTGGGATTTGGCAATGGCGTATATGGCGTTTGACTCCCCGGGTTTAAGCGTCTGAAAGGGAGGAAGGAGGGTAAGAGGATTCGAAAGGTTTACAACGCGGTTTGCGAGATGGGATTTGCACGGGCAAAGTCTAAGGCCGGGGGTGAGAGTGTTACTGTGTGGGATACTAAGCCATGCCTCATCTTATCAGTGGATATTATTCCAGTAAACATTACTCCAGTACCCATCGCACCTTCACCGCTAAACCTAAATATCCACGTGCAGCACACCGCCCCCATGTTCTCTACTAACCACACAACTCTGTCCTAGACGCTATGCTGATCGCGGGGGTTGGAGGAATGGGAGGGGAGGATCGTTGGTGTGGAGTGTAGTGTAGTGTGGTGTGGTGTGGTGTGGTGAAAGCGAATCCCAAGGTCTTGCGTAAAGGGAGGGGTTGGATTACTGGGTCTGAAGATGGATGTGGAGTTGGGGATGGACATACGTGTATGTGGACATGTACATGTGCATGTAAAGTTGCTATCCAGCACGACTATGACCTAACCTAACCCCCTTTTATTTACACAGGGTGTAGCCCGACTCCCACACACTACTTGTGCTTAGGGTGGGATTGTAGTGTTGTTGGAATTAGACTTGGAATCGAAAGATTAGTTTATCCGTGATGATCCCACGGTTTATTTTGATGCGGACACTTGAATATCCCCACATATAGCACATACTTGTAACCCCGGGTTAGAAACGCCACATATCCCCGCTCGAATTGAACTCTCACACATGTATAGACTCCGTGTTTTCTTCGTCTGACAAGACCATAACAAACCCTTTCACGGCTTCCCTATCCCATCTCCACACTCACAGCCACACATATAATACACACTACCACACACCCCCGTCCCAGCCCCCTCACCCGTTTATTCATCCTGTAATAACAGCAACCCTAGGCCCGACCCCAACCACGCCCTCACACGGATGCGGACCCGGCCGCGGTGTGGGTTTGTAGAGCGCGGTGCACTGTGTGCGTGTTAGTGTTCGAATCTGTGGGATGGCATGGTAAGGGAGTGCAACTCCATCACGCGTATACCAAACTACACCATGCCATACCAAACCAAACCACACCAAGCCGGAAACCCCAAATAACATCCAAACCCAAGAACCAAACCAACAGCGCAAACCCAAACTCAAAGAAAAAAAGGGGGAAGAAGAGACGACAACATACGTTTCGCGTGGGCGTGGGACAGCCGCCTACAGCCTCCATGTAGCAGCCGTAGCTGAAGTTTTCTTCAAAGTTGCAGCTCTGGGGGGTGTGGGGTTAGGTGGGTGTTGTGTATTGATACTTTTTGGGGGAAGAAAGGGAAGGGGGTCTGTATGCGGACTTGTTTAACCTGGGACTGGGACTGGGACTGGGACTGAGAGTTTTCCATCTCGCTGGGGAAGGAGCAGTATGGGACGCGGATGTTGACTTGGCCCTCGTCTTGCTCGCTCTTCCCACATATTGCTGTTTCCATCTGATTTCGGTTCGCTCCCTTGGATTCCCCCCCCCCCCCCTTTCTCACATCCACATCCACATCCACATCCTGCCCCCCAATCCCACCGGCCCCCCCAAAAAAACATCAAAACATACCTGCAACGCATCCGTAGCCCAACACGGATACCGCGCCGTCGCCAGCGCACAACTACACTGCTTCGAGAAAACGGGAATAGGCTCCAAGTGCGGGTTCTTGGAGCGTGTGGGCCTCGGCGGCTTGGTGATGGTGTTGTTCAGGGAGTGTGATTGTGGGCCTGTGGGTATGGGTAGGGGCGTGGGCGTGGTGGGGAGGCTGGGAATGTTTGTGATGAGGGTGGGGAGGATGGTGGGGATGGCTTGGGGGTAGGGGATTGCGGTGGTGATGGTGAAGGGTAGGAGGAGGGCGGTTAGGGGGAGGGAGATGTGCATTTTGGGGGATATCGGGTTGTTGGCGTGCGTGTGGATGTGTTGGTGTTCAGATTCTGCAAAGGGTGTATCATCTCACGTATCGTTTGGGTCTGTAGTTATTCTTTTGAGATGATTGGGAGTACTTCCTATTGTTAGTTGATACTATCAAAATTATCCACAATCCATGGCACAGGTACTTTAACCTCGTCAGGATTTAACCACGCTGTACTGTGAATCCTGTGCCAAGGTCGAGGTATAATTTACCATTCCATGATTCGGGCAAGCTTGATTGATGTTGACTAGCGACATGGCATTTGTATAGGAAGAGGCTATTCTTGTAGACCAAGACACGCACAGGAGAACTCCCATAGCGAGATTCAAAGGAGTGCTACTATGCGGCGATTGCTGGTGCTAGCATTGGGCTGTCTGATTGGCTTGCTGGAGCATCCGTAATCTGTGGTCATATAGGCTAACACGCGTACTCATTTTGGCTAAAGTGTCCTGCGTCACGATACTAGTCAACATCGAACTCAACACCATGATAACCATTTCCACAGAGAGTGGTGTGTAAGCGCGAGCGATTCCATGACACAGAAACCTGGTGGTGATTGGTAAAGTGACATCATCCGCTGTAACGAGTGCTTCCACTGTCCTCGCCGTATACGCCTCACAAACCTCGGTGTCCCTCTTGCAGCACACCAAGCCTACACAACGGTAACCCATGCGGCTCGTCCTCCAACAACCCTGTGGCGCAACACATCCATCTCAATGAAGAAGGCGCCGACGGTCTGGCTTGAAAACGGACCGTTTGGAACCCCATACAGGCTGCCTGCCATGGAGGGGTTTGCATGCATCCATCCTGTATATGCCATGAATCCATGTCCTCAACATGTGATGGTATGTAGTCTTGCTAATCAGGGTCCTGGATAGTCTCGGCCGCATCGCATCAGCAAAGAGGGGTCCGACCATAGCGTGTGCGATTGCAGTGGTGCCGAGATATCTACAGTACAACCGTGCGTGCCGGTCCGTGAGGTGTTGTGATATGCGCCATCGTCGTCAGCAATTAGGTGGAGACGGTCTTGGTCGTAAAAAGATTGGGGATCAACGGGGCCAGAGGCCATTCTTGCACCGTTCAAGGTAGTCAAAGCGAGACCGGGCGTGCATGGTGGAGGTGTGCAAATTTGCAGAGAGAGTCTGGGACTATGGCGCGCGGCGGGCTTGGGTTATCGCCCGGGGTCCGGGAACGGATGGAGAGGACATGCGAGGGTACTTGGAGATACTTGGAAGATTTTGGTGGGCTAGAAACACGAATTCCCCCCCCCCCCCCCTCTCGTCTTACCACGCAGGCATACGCAAGAGGCTATCTAGGCGCGGGCTAGCTTGCAATATGATAGATTACAATTTTTTTTTGTTGAGATCAAGGCATGAGTTTGTCAACGAGATCGAGGTGCTGGTAATCGCCATGGTGTAATGTTTGACAGAGGACTTGCATTCAACTATGATCCAAAAAAATCAATCAAAAAAGCCTGCAAAGACTGTAACCGCGAATGAAGAGAACAACTTGGGACAATGACTCGAGATAACAAGAGCAACAAAGCATTGTGTCCATGGATGTTGATAATCCCCGCACGTGATCAGGCGCTAGAAGCTCGGACCTATGACGAAAGCACGCCGCGAACAGTTCAGAGCACCTCAGACGTCAATCCATAGACATAACGGTATCAGGCCAAAAAAAGCACATCACCAATTGCATTTCGTAAGCCGAATTCCAACCCCAACACAACAACCACCATGCCTCCCCTTACCAACACATATCCCAAACACTTACCCCAGACCAGCCCAGTCCCCACTATGGCACCCTCAAGGGCAGCAGCCCTCGTCCGCATAACCTCCGCACTCGCACAACCCCCTGTCCACACGGCATTCCGCATGCTTCTATCCACATGTACGAGGCAAACACCACGCTTGCATGGCGTTTCGGCGCCAATTCCAAGACCGGCGCGGCACCTATGTTTGCCTACGATGTGCACACGAGCATATTCACAGCCGGCGGGCGCGGCACTCGAACCACCGGATTACCTGAATGAAGCGGAGTTGCAAGTTTTCAACAAGATCAAGGCCAAGTTGGAGCCAGTGAGGTTGGAGGTACGATGTACGATTTTCTTGCTTCATTTCTGGGCTGGACGGTTTTCGGACTTGAGCGGCAGCATGCGTGAGATATGGGAATGATGTTGATTGATCGCTACGGGGGGTACATGTGCGTCGTTGAGTGGCTTGCGGGGTCGGCATATAAGGCATCCGCAGTGCGGGGGTGAAATATGGGGTAGACGGCAATCTGTTGGCTACTTTATGCAAAAGTGAAAGATGCAAGGATTACTGAGCAGTGTATGGTCGATTGCTAACTGCGCGGTTATAGGTCCAAGATATAAGCGGTGGCTGTGGCTCAATGTATGCCCTTGATATCGAGTCGCCCAAGTTCAAAGGGCTGTCGGTTATCAAGCAGCACAAGATGGTGAATGAGGTGTTGAAGGACGAGATCAGTGGTTGGCATGGCGTGCAGTTACGCACAAAGGCTTGCTGAGTCAGACTGGAGCAAATGAAACGACTCTTTGGACTTGATACTGTATAATGTGTATGATGTGTATAGATATGAGATGACATACTGTGTACTATGTATCAGCGATTCAAATGATTTCCTTGAGATGAGGAGTGTGATATCATTCCACTCTCTTTCCACGACCTTTTCAATCTCATACAACCTCAAGATCCGCTGCAGTATAATGGACTTGATACTTGCCTCACAAATCAAGCATCTTTCCAATACTAACAGTATCTAGAAGTAAGGGACTGCACACAACCACTTTCCCATTTAGCTCTATGCAGGAAAATGCCAGACAAGCGCAATGTCTTGGAGATATTTTGATCGAAATCTAATCAATTAGGTAGTTTTCTGGGCGTTCAAGCGATTGTATATCAAGTACTCCACAAACACGTCAAAAAAGCATCATCATCGTAGAACATGAAAAATAAACATCAAATTCAAACACAATCAATCACCAGCTATACAGACGTAACATAAGCAGCCGGAAAAAGCCCCTTGGCACCCCCATACACGCCCCAAAACCAATCGCCATTAACATCCGCCGCCTCGCGAATCTCCGCACCCCTCGGAAACGCCAACTCATCCTCATCTCCAACATCAGGCCAATAACCCCATCGGGCCAACAGTCTCAGGCCAAAGCCGCCATCGGGTGGATACCGCTGGACGCGAGACTCTTGCTCCTCCTCCTTGAGCGCATGGCCGCCCACGAGATCGCGAACGACGATGCGGCGCTGACCGCCGTCGCGGTCTTCAAAGCCGACAATGACCATGCGGTGACTGCGGAGACACTTGCGCCAGCCGTGGATGCCGTCTTCCTTGGGGATGCGGCCCGAGACGACGAGTTTGTGGTAGCAGTTTGTGCAGATGTCGTAGTCGCCAGCGTTGCATTTGAGGCAGTGGTAGCGAGTGTTGGAGGGCGGGATCGGGTGTCGACAGACGTTGCAAAGAGTTGTAAAGGTGAGGGGGCGGAAGATGGAGTTTGCGATTTTGAAGTAGCCGGGGCCGCGCAGCAAGGAGGCCGACTTTGGTGTCAGGGGTGGTGTTGTGGGTGTGGTGTCGCGGTCTGGTGGAGCGAGTCCGGTGTCTTGACGGGGCGTAGATGGTGCAGATGGCATGCTGTCGCTGATGGATGGGGCTTTTTCTCTGAGCTTGCGAGCAACGGGGACGAGAGGGTGTGTGCAATGCCGTCCCTGGTTGACACAGTCGTTGCAAAAACCCCAATCGCCATCATTGCAATAGTCGCATTTCCAGTAGCATGCATTGGCAAAGGCCTTGCAAGTGTCGCAAAAGACGCCGCTTTCCAAGCGTTCCTGTGGATCGTCTTCGCTTCTGAGTACATGTGGCGGGATAGGCGATTCTGTGAGTGGTGTGGTTGGTCGGCGATACCGGTTTCCAACGAGTACATGCGGCTGCTCGTGGTCTGGTGGGTAGCCATTTTCGGGTGCTTGCTGCTCGTATCTTCGCCATGCTGTCCAACCAAAGCCAAACCAGTGCTTGCAACCCTTTCCTTGACGATAACAACGGATGCATATGTTGAACGTGCCATCATCGCACCGTGCACAATTGTAGTGGAGCTCATACTCGATATGATCTTTGTCACAACGCTTGCAGGACAAGTGTGGCTCCGGATACAGGGTCGATGTGCTGGCAGTCGGGTACGACGTGGAGCGGGGAAACGCAGGAGGTGAAGCCAAAGGAGGCGTTCCACTGTTAGGAGATCGTACCGGTCCAGCTCTTGTAGGATCGGTCGTGCGACGTGATGATGGTGGTTGAAAAGGAGTCACAGCCGGCGTGGACACAGAAAGTGGCAATGATGGTACACCTAAGACACTCATGGAACTGGTTGGACTATCGCTAGTAGGCGTGCCAAGTCCTGATGCTCGGGGGGAGTTGGGATCAGGCGATGTGCTATTTTCATTGCCATTGCGGAATTGCTGTCGGGGATCACCTCTGCTGCTTTGTTGATGATCAGACTGACGTCTGGGCATGGGTACAGCATCTGATGTTGTTGGCCTATCAGGCTCAGTGCCACTCTGTGCAGCGGAGGAGATGGACAAAGTAGAGGGGCGCTCTGCCCTCCGAGCCGATCTTGAACTTCCTTGACTAGAAGACCTTGGGCGGAGTGTTCTGCCACCTCGGTTTGCGGCGTTGATGAGCGCAGGTCTAGAGATAGGAGGTCCAGGAGCATGCTGGGGCGTTGACGTCCCACTCTCCGAGCGCCCATGAGTCCGTCTTCGAGTGCCATCTTCATCACGTAGGAGAGGGCTTCGCAGGGGTGGTGTCAACGCAGCCGAGGGGGAACTGATCAGACCGTCTCGTGCGAGTCGGTCACGTCTCTCCCGCCGTTCGCGCTGACGCTCTGCATATCTTTCTGCCTGCCGTCGGCGTACAGCATCTGCGATTCTCTCGGTAATCTCTTCTTCTTCTGCAGCGCCAATCTGGTTGAGATCCATACCCTCCGACATGAGCTCTTCTAACACTTGGTGCACAAGGTCTTCATCAATGTCAATGGAGTCGAGTTCTGATGCGCTCAGCAGAGAGCGAAGACTAGATTGGTGTTCGATAGAACGTGGTGGTGTGTTTGCTCGTGTTGGTGATGTTTCCTGTGTATTGCGACTTGTAGACCGCCTTTCATCTCGACTCCTTCGAGAGTCACGGCTTGTATCTCGACTCCTCTCCCTACGCCTACGCTCTCGCGGCGGCTCCAGACTAGTACTGGCCGCACCTGATATCCCAGCTTCCCTCAGACTCAGCTGCTGGACCTCTTCCAGCATTCTCTGGTCCTGCTCATCGCGCTCGTCCCTCCGTCGAAGCTTGGGCAGCACATTGTCACCCGGCTTAAACTTATCCCGATCGGCCTTCTTCTCTGTATCCGTCTTGCCCCGACCTGGGTTTGCTTTGAGAAATATATCCAGTAGTGTAGTCACGGTCGCATTGGGCTGTGTGGTGCGCACCGAGGCACGACATGAAGGGCACGTGTATGGGTGGATTGACGTCGCCGTCGAGGCTTGAAAGGCAAACCACTCCTTCAAGCAGGCGCCGCAGAAGCTGTGTAGACAGTCGAGAAGCGTGAGCGGTTGGTAGAGAAGGTCGGTACAGATCTGCGCATTCCTTAGTTAGCAGCAGTACCCCGTTATGTTACTCAGCAGGCCGCAAAAGGGACGACACTTCACCACCACAACCTCCCCCTTCCCGTCTCTCTCTCTCTCTCTCTCTCTCTCTCTCTCTCTCTCTTTGCGCATGCAGGTTCGACGACATCTGCGCAACTTCATCATCACAACTCCACATGGCACGCGATTGCGCCCTCCCCCGCAATCCAAACCCCACCTTTGCAACACCATGGAGGTTAGTTGAACCTCGTCTTGACTTACCGAGCACGTCAGTTCCTTCTCGAGATCTCCCTGAACTCCGCCGGCACGCTCACCCTCGGCCATGGTTTGCAATATAGACTGCCACGGCAAGATCCGCTATGGTGGTTAGGTCGCAGGTTCGAAGTCGCAGCCTCACTAGCTGATCTCTTGCGGTCAGGCTTCAGCGACTCGACACTTGGCGAGGCCAGGACGTTTGAGAGGCGCCGTCATACATAGCATGCCAGCGCATCCAAACTCTTGCAGCCGATGCAGGCAGATGAAGTCGTACTGAGGTAGAGGTAAACTGCATCCATCATCTGGCGTCTGCAAGGAGCACATGTCGGGACGTCACGCGACTTCGTGCCATGCATGTGCGATTAGCGTTGGCAGGTCCACCAAGCTGAAAAAGACGCGAACGCGACCTCACCATCCAGGGCCTTTCAAGGAATGGCAACACCCCATCGTAGTAGACACTGGGATTATCAAGCTTATGACATGCAGTAACATCTTCACATCCGTCTTGGCTTGGTCTCAAGCTCCTCAAGCCTGCAGCACATCATGTTTAGCCCATCGTTTCGTCCAAGGTTCCACGACAGGGAATCGCCTCATGATCAGCAACCGAAACATGTTCCATCAAGGCGGATCTGGACGATCCGATCAGGCGACCAAGTCCTCGGGCCTCAGGTTTCGAAACCTTAGGCAAACATGCATTCACTCATCGGACAGGTTCATGGGAGATGATCACTTTCCAACGAGCTCTTGTGGCTCCTGTCTGAATTAGGTGCTTAACTGGGCTAAAATAGGCTTATATTCTCGCAGCATCATCTACAAATTTATATCATCATTTTCCATTCGCCTTCAAATCTTCCATACATTTCACATTACTCAGATCCAATACCTATGCTGAGATGGACCGTGGCCAGCACTGAGCCCATTACTCATCTCTTTCGACCATGATCAGTTCACATGGCGTGCAGATTAAGCATCATCAGCTTGTCCTTGCTGCGACTGGCCATTAATTGCGCCGGTAGAGCCAGTCAGAGAGGTTCCCTGGTTTTGAGAGTTGTCCTGATTCTGAGATGCACCTGCTATCCGGCTATTAGTTTCGATCTAGGGGTGAGTGGATGTACGTACTAGTCTGACCCTGGGAGTTTGTGCCCTGAAGGTTACCTTGACCATTTCCTTGAGCCGTACCCTGATTGCTGTCCTGGCTGTTCCCTTGAGCTGTTCCCTGGGTAGTACCCTGAGCTGTACCCTGACCAGTGCCTTGAATCGTATCTTGGCCACTACCTTGAGCAGTACCTTGAGTTGTATCTTGGTCAGTACCCTGAACAGTACCTTGGGCGGCAGTGCTTTGAGCATTACCCCCGTTTGTACCTTGAGTGGTACCTTGGTTTCCATCTTGCGCAGTGCCTTGGTTCGTGCCTTGAGCATTTCCTCCATTGATACCCTGAGCATTACCTCCATTTGTACCCTGAGTCCCCTGATTCTGCGTCTGCTGTCCACCCTGTTGGCCAGCCACACCCCCAGCACCAGCGTTCCCCTGGTCCGCCCCATTCTGCACAAGACCATTTCCATTCCCGGCAGCAAGATCCTGAGCGGCAGCAAAAGCGGCAGCAGGACTACCAGCAGGCTGGCCAGGCTGCGTAGCACCCGTACCTATGCAACACCGTCAGAAACTCAACCCCTACAAACAAAAACCTCAGAAATCACAACAGATAGAATCGAAAAACTCACCCTGAACACCACCGGCCACACCCGTCTGGTCGCAAGCCGTCGGCCGAATAGCCTGGGAGTTGCTACCGGTCGACGCCATGTAGGCATCAATATTCGGCAGCACATTGACACACCGATTCTGATTAATCAAGTCGATATTCTGGCTCGCCGCCAACCCCTTCACACTCATCTCCTGCAGCTTATCCACCACATCCTGAAAACTCCCACCAGTAGCCAACGTGCTATTCGCAGCAATCACATCGGCCTGGCCACCATTTGCAGCATCGATGATGGCCTTGTGCGTCAACTCGTCCACTTCGGCGTTGAAGGCTACTGTCGCAGCCTGCTTGAATGCAACGTTGTTCTGGATGCTGGGCCCGGTGTTGAGGAAGTTAGAGACCATGGATGTGTCTGCTTGCCAGTTTGACACTGCTGTTGCGAGATCTCCTGCCGTAGGTGTCTGTCCGTTTTGTGGGCCCCCAGTCTGTGGCGCGTTGCTGGTGGTTCCGGTGTTCTGACCGTTTTGCAAATTGGCTTGCCCGTTTTGAATATTGCCATTGCCATTGCCATTGCCGTTGTCGTTACCGTTGCTGTTTTGCACGTCTCCAGCTTGTCCGTTTTGCTGGCCCGTCTGCTGCCCTGCATTCGCGCCCACCTGGGCGAACGGCGCAGCGTACACCGCAGACGTAAGAAGCGAGGCGATGAGGATATACTTCATGATGACTGTATGAGTGTATAATAAATCTGTGAATATAGGTAAAGATTTCAATCGGCTCAACCGACGTTCAAATAAAACAATACAATACGATTACTCTTGCTTCCGTCAGGGCAAGAAAGTAAAACAACAAGTAAAAAGAATAAGTAAGAGAAGATAATGCCCTGAAGGAAAAGAAGCCAATTTTGCTAGATGAAGCGAATAGAATGGGAACCTGTCCGATACAGAATCTCTTCTATCCATCTACCTCCACAACTTTATAGATTCATAACCACGACACATCCTTCCCAATCACCCTCCATATCTGACCCAACGCATAAACCCCATCGCATACTTGCAACACCCATCCACCCCCCTTCTCCCTTGCCAAGACGTACAGATCCAAACGCAGACACCAGCCAGGGCGCCGGATTTGGGACTTTGGATGCTTCGCATTGTTCATCTAGACCATCTTACCAAACTCACAGCCGTCTTTAAACCCCCAGCACTGCGAAATGTAGGAACAGAGTTTTGAACAGCGAAATCCGCATTACAGTCTTCTGTTTTGCGTGGGTGGTTTGAAAAGGCAAAACTTGTATTTTGAGTGGTGGGCGACTTGGCGCGAGGGACTTGTGTCAGGGTTTGGTATGGGGTTTGTTTGGTGTTTTGTGCGAGGGGTTAGCGGTTTGGATGGGTGGTTTAGTTGTATGTATGTGGGTTGTGGTTTGTGGTTTGACGGGAAGAGATGAAACACGCGGGGATGACGATGTGTTTGACTACATCGGAGGGATTGCTGCATATGGAGGCGGTGTTTGTGTTGGGGGATATTTTGGTTCTGGTGAATGGAGATTTGCATGCATGGTATCATTTTTGTCAAGACAAGTTTCCCAGTGCCCTGCCTTTCTTCTACGGTAGCACCGGTTCCCCCTTGATTTGTGTAGACTGCATGGCTGTCTCTACTTTCCTAATGAACCTCGCTGGATTCCCCGCCACAACTGTGAATTCGGGTACACTCTTCGTCACTACACTGCCTGCACCCACCACGCTGCCTCTGCCAATCGTAACGCCAGGAAGAATACATACGTTTCCGCCGATCCAGCAGTCCTCGCCGACGTGAATTTCCTTGCCGAGTTCGGGCCCGGCGGTGCCATTGCGGAGAGCGGGGTCGAGCGGGTGCGTGGCGGAGTAGAACTATGAGGTTCAGTGGGGTTGAACTTGACGTTTTTCCCTCTACATTCGAGGGTGGCTTAGGTAAAATCATACAGAAACATTGGGTCCCACGAGGGTGCGGGACCCAATGGTGGTCAAGCACGTGTCTAGGAAGACGGAGTTGAAGTTGATGAAGACGTTTGCGCCGAGACGAACATTGTAGCCGTAGTCCATGGCGAGAGGTGGCTCAATCCAGGGGTCGTTTTCGAATTGCTGGTCGTCTTCTTCGGGGGTGGCGGCGGGGGTTGGGAGAGGAGTTTTGTCTTGTACGATGCTGAGTAGGAAGATGAGAACAGTGATGATGTTTTGGTTTCTTCAGAGTAATACAACGCACTCTCGAAACAGTTCAGTTAGTTGTCGCCGCGGCACGTCGCCGGCGTTGTTGTAACGAGCGCAGGCATGTTTGCAGCGGGCTCGCTCAGCGACTAGTTCGGGTGTGAAGGCGTGGTAGAGTTCACCGCGGGCCATGCGCTGCTTGTTATCTGATAGTTCCATTGCGGGGTGTTGAGGAGTGTTGAAGCGTGCTGTGGATGAGGACACAGCGAATTAACCAGGCAGGTTGGTGGTGTCTCACGATGTCCCCGCCAACAACTAGGTACCGTCCGGACTCGCCATGAATGGTTGGGAAAGCGACGCATGGTTGTGGTAGTCACTATATGGTGTCGGCAAATAATGTGATCAACAACATGATATGCATGACCAGATATAACTGATAGTTCAAGGACGGACTGCTCATCGTCCCTTCACGCCCTTGTCACAATGTCTATGAAGACGAAACTCGGAGTCGATGCACAGGCCAAAAGTTCAGGGTCTCCACGCTAGATGCAACTCGGCCTAGCGTGATGAGGTCATCAGCCAACCCCGGCTATCCCGAGACCGAAGCCTGACGCGTCAACCGAGGACAATACCAACGACAGGACAACCCTCGACGCCTCTTGGTATTGTTGCGAGGCACGCATCTCTGCAAACAATCTCTGCACGCTTGCACGGCTCATAGGCCTTTCTTTATTCCTGCAATTGCTATGTCTTGAGCCCGCTTGCGCGTGGGCATCTCACCTTGTACATACTCTTCCCCCACACAGGACATCATGGCTTCCAACGGTTCCACCACCTCAGCGCACATCAATGTCTCACATCCTGTAAACAGAGCAGCAGAGCGCAGTAGCTGGACACCTGAAATGGATGCGAAGCTACGGGCTGAGAAGCCCGACACCATGTCCCAGAAGAGCAGTAAAGCCATTGGCGAGGAATTCTTCCCTCATGGAAAACGCTCACTATCAGGCATTGCCATGCGTGCATTCTGTCTTGGTGCTGCCTTCGTCCTTGGCCTCGGGCTGACGATTCTACTCGCATATCATGGCAGCCGTCTATGGCGCCCCTTCCTCTTCCTCTCCACCCTCTCCGTCTTCCACTTCCTCGAGTTCTACACCACGGCCGCCTACAACACCCCCGTCACCAACGTCGCCTCGTTCCTCCTCATCAATGGCGATCAGTACCAGCAAGCCAATTCCATGGCATTCCTCGAGACATTCATCACCTCCTACTTCTTCTCCAATTGGCAGGCTCGTTTCCATTCTCCACTCGTCATCGCGCTGGGCATCGTGATGATCGCCATCGGACAATTCGTCAGGAGCATAGCCATGGCACAAGCCGGCACCAACTTCAACCACATTGTGCAGTCTCGTAAGAATGCCGGCCATGAGCTCGTCACCCATGGCGTGTACGCCTACTTCCGCCATCCCTCCTATTTTGGCTTCTTTTGGTGGGGCATCGGCACGCAGGTCATGCTGGGCAATGTTTTTTGCTTCTGCGCCTATATTGGCATTCTGTGGTTCTTCTTCATGCGTCGCATTAAACGTGAGTTCACTACTCCACTCCCCTCCTACTTTTGAGATCATTTCTTCTCTCGAGGCACTAACAATTCGAGTAGACGAAGAAGAACACTTGGTCGAGTTTTTTGGCGATGAGTACACGGAGTACAAGGCGCGTACACGGACCTGGATACCTTTTATCAGATAGCTTCTTGGCTTGCTGTGCAGGAAAGTCCTTTTGAATATCCTGGAAAAAGTGTCTCTTGAGAGCTACCAAAGAGCCATGTAAAGCGAAATTACGAACTTCTTCAACCCGTCTTCTTTTTGAGGCTAATGAACCGCTGCAAATTTATGACGCTATTGACGGCCCAGTGAAGATTTTTGGTGCGCCTCTCGTTGCTATATCCAACTTCAGAGCGAGTCCTCGATCCCTTGTTTGCATTATAGCTCTTATGCACTATGCCCCTGGAACCTGGACAGAGCTCTCATGTGGAATTCCCCAACAGTCTCCAACTCCAACTATACCCCTCCTATCAAAAAAAGCTGCACCAAAACACCCACATCACACTCCCACTCAATCATCAACCACCCTCCTACACCCCGTCACTCCTTCTCCCCGCCATGCCAATGCTTCCTAACCCACCCCTCAATCCTGCCCACCACCTCCCCCGGCTTCTCATACGTAACCCAATGCGCCGCCTGCACCATCTGCGCCTGTTCAAGCCGCGGCAGCAGCCCCGCGCGTATACTCGGCACCATGCTTTCCGGCCTGCACACGGGGTCCTCGGTCGTGCCAATATACAGCACCGGAACGGTGATTTTGTCGACGTGCTGGGGAAGCTGCGAGTCCGAGGCGAATTGGTGGTTGAGGGTGGTGGCTTTGTACCAGTTTAGGGGACCGGTCATGCCGGCGGTGGTGAATTGGGAGAGGAAGGTGGATTCTAGGGTGGGGGAGTGGGCGTAGGGGCGGAGGGGGGAGGGGGGAGTGGTGGTGTTGGTGAGGTACTGAGGGGGTGGTTAGCTTGGGTGATGGGGTTATTTTTTGGTGTGTGGAGTGGAGGGATGGAGGACGGGGTGGGAGGTTGGGTTTGGAGAAATAGGAAGTGGGAAATGGAGTCGAGTACCTCTCGTAAAGCACCGGGTGTGCAAAATAGATGCTTCATGGTGTCGGCCTGACCATGCATGGCGTGGTACATACGCTCTAGATTCTTCTCTATGACCTCGACGCCATCCTCGGCTGTGAAAAGCTGCCAGTAGGCAAAGAACTGATAGCCAAAGATCTGCTGCGTCAACTGATTCATCTTCTCCAGATCAAACTGCTGGCGAGTCGGCGGCGTATACGGGACGTTTAGGTTGACGAGTCCGACCACGCGGTCCGGGTAGTAGTGTGCTAATCGACAGGCGGCCGCGGATCCCCAGTCGTGGCCAATGGAAATCACCTTGTCGTGCTGCTCGGCGTTGAGGAGGTCAACTATGTCGGTTGTCATGCCGTCCCATCTGTAGGCTGCAGGGTCGGTGGGCTTGTCAGTGCCGTCGTAGCCAAGCATGTCGGGAATGAGTATGGGGTGGTTAAGAGAGCGCAGAGGGCCGGCGACGTCTGCCCACATGGCGGCATGGTCGGGCCAGCCGTGTTGGAAGACGAGGGCTGGGAGGGACTTGTCGCCTGCCGAGGTGTAGTAGGTGTATGTGTAGCCTCTAGAGGTTTTGAGCGTCTTCTTGGTGAAGGCGTCCATGGTGGTCGGTATCGTCTGGTATTGCAAGGAACTGCAATGGAAAGGAGACGAGAAGTAGAAATGCTGCGTGGTATAGGTATGGTAGAGAAGAGACAAGAGAAGTAGGGTATACTTATAACAGACAGAGAATCTGGCACATGGCCGGACCCGGTAACGTCACCGAACCCATATAAACTTGAGAGGTAGAGCTCCGCTCCGCTCATGCAGGGTCCACAGTGCCACTACATACAATATGGCACAAAACACGGCTTCGGGAGCTTGCCAAACAAGGAGTCTCCGCCATGGAAAGGGAACAGTCTCGGATCTCTGATTGTTTCTTTCCGATGTGATGGAGAACGGGTATGACGAGAACCATGCCGTCTTGCTGTAGACACAGGACTCGTGTCTTTCCTCTGTCTCGGTCCAGGTAGGCATCGGCCATGACGTTGTTCATTCAACGAAATCCGTAGGATAGACTGGCAGAAGCTAGCAGACATCCAAATCTGGAGTGGAGGATCCAGAGCCCTATCCCACACAGTTCCGGGTGACTGAGTATTTGGAGATCGGATGTTTCATGCAAGGGCGGACCTCGATGTCATGGTTCCGTAGAAAACTTTTGGCATGTCAAGTTACCTCGGCAGAGCCAACGTCGATTACCGGCACCGGTCGTTAGCGAATGGCGTCACTGCGCGCCTGAACCTCCGGAATTCCATCACGACGCACAGCGGCCAAGTAGAACAGCAGCAACATCACAGCAACATGGCAGTAACGCGAAGATCGACGCGTCAAACTGCACTCACTGTGCCAAAGTATAATGTTGAGAGCTCTCCGTCAGCTGAAGACAAGAATACAAGACGCAACATCAAAAAGACGACGCGTCGTAAACGCGTTCGCGATGAGAAAGATGACAATGATGAAGGAAGAGAGCAACAGGAACAAGAAAAAACTGTAGATGAAAGTCCACCACCAGCAAAGAAAGCTGCTACATCCAAGACCAAAGCCAAAGCATCCAAGCCTACCACACCCTCAACCATCACCAACACAACCACCACAAAGCACAAAGCCAGTCCACCACCAGCCCCATCCACAGAATCCAACCGCAACCCAGACGGCACCCAAGAAGTCTTCTGGCTGCTCAAAGCCGAGCCCTTGCCCCGCTACGAAAACGGCGTCGACGTCTCCTTCTCCATCGACTCCCTCGCCGCCTGCACAGCCCCTGAACCCTGGTCCGGCGTCCGCAACCCACAAGCCCGCAACAACATGCAGGCCATGCGCGTCGGCGACCTAGGCTTCTTCTACCACAGCAACGCCAAGCCCAGCGGCGTTGCGGGCATCCTGCGAGTCGTCGAGGAGGCCAAGGTCGACGAGACGGCGTTTGATCCCAAGGATCCGTATTATGATGCTAAGAGTAAGAGGGAGGAGCCCAAATGGTGGTGTGTTGGGGTCGAGTTTGTCAAGAAGTTTGACAATGTGGTGAGCTTGGAGGTTTTGAAGAGGGAGGCGGCCAAGGGAGGTGTGCTCAAGGATATGCAGGTTGTGCATAATTCCAGGCTGAGTGTTTGTCGTGTCAGGAGGGAGGAGTGGGAGTTTGTTCTAGGGCTTGCAGAGGGGATGGGGAAGGAGGAGGAGAAGACGGAAGAGCAGAAAGAAGAGCAAAGATGAGATGTTTCACATGATCATCTCTCATGTTGAAATGGATCTGATCATGCTACCTACTGAGATACCTGCATGTGGACAGCAAAAGGCCACTGAACAGACTTAATACTGGAGGCCCTCAATAATCGCGCGACTATTCAGGAATCCACATCGCTCCTCCAGCCTTTGTGTCCGCACCACCTCCGTCGAGTTTACCCCTGTCAATGCAAAGAAACCTTCACTCGGCCCTCCAATTGTCATCACGTACGGGCCGCCCGGGCATGAAAAGGCACCGTCCCAGCCTTGAATAGTGGTGGACGGATGCTCAGGGCTACTGGGGGCAACCGCATGACCTTTGCTTGCATAGGTGCTCCAGGATCGACTGGCTCGAACAGCAAGATCACGGTCCGCCTGGGCCGCATGCAGAGGATAGCCCGACACGTCATACGCCCGAAAGCTGTCAAACATATATGCAAATTCAGAGGTGTGTACTACGCCGTAGCCGGACACATTCGTCTCGTGTTCCAAAAGCGGTTCCAGGATTGTTTGGTTGAAGTTGAAGAAGAAGACTGGGCCGTGGTATTTCTCCTCGACTGCTTCTCCGAGGTGAAGAGATGGGCAGACCATGAGAATGTCCCGAAAGATACGAGCGGATCGGTGGAATTCTGCGGTCAGGTTTACGCTAGCCTTGAACTCATCCACGGGGTACATGTTTAGTAGCTGGGCCACTGAAGCTTCGGGCATTGCTGGTAGATATGCGCGGATGAATTCGTTCGTATCATTGGCCGTTATGATCGAGGTGTTGGTGTAGTAGTTCATGTCGTCTTGCTGCCAGCCGGACATGAAGGTTGCGTTTCCAAAACGACCCTCGGCAATCAGCTTACTCGGCCCTGCGGGAAGAAAGTCACCATCGACAATCGGCAACCAGACGTCCCCAATGTTATGAGCAATGCCACTCTGATAAGTTATGATTGAGGCATTGAGCAACATGGCCGTGTCCATCTTACGAAGACAGGAGATGGTCTCTGGTTCGTCGAGGGATGTGGCATTGCATCCAATGTAATCGACCACCGCCTTCATAGCATCTCGAGCAAACGATCCAGTGATACCAGGCTCAAGTGACTGCGACTGGGCAATGCCTCGCTGAAAGGGCAACGGCTTCGTGCCTCCGTAGGCAAGGATATGCATACCAATGGCGAGCCCACCGGATGATTGGCCGAAGATGGTGATGTTCTCCGAGTCACCTCCAAAGGCCTCAATGTTGTCGCGTACCCACTCAATGGCTGCGCGCTGGTCACGGAGACCAGCGTTCTCACTGCCCTCGCTTTTTAGAGTGCCCGAGTTGGCAAATCCAAAGACTGTGGTTTTCGTCAGTCAAGATGTCTCATGCAACTGCAGTTCTTCACTTACATCCAAGACGATAGTTCATTGCCACATGGATAACCGGATCACCATTCTCCACGGACTGTCGAATCAATCCATCAGGTGCCGTAGTCGGCTCCGTATTCGAAGCCCACCAAAAGCTACCTCCATGGATCCAAACCATAACAGGTAGCTTCTTGGCTGCATCCATATCCTTCGGCCTCGCTACGTTCAGGTTCAAGCAGTCCTCGGAGATGTCTGTGATGTTGCCAAGCCCAAGAGGTGGAAACAACACGCCAAGTGGCTGCGGGCATGCATGGCCAGGCTTTGTTGCGTTGAATGTGGCTCCGGGAGGAAAGACATGTGGACGAGGAGGTTTGAACCTGTTCTCGCCGCTGGTGTCTTGTGCGTATGGAATGCCCAGGAATATCTCGACTCCGTTACGCTCAATACCTTGGTACTTGACGCCGTTCGCATTAACTTCAGGTATGGCAGTTGTGGCGACAGCAATAGCTCCGAGGAGGGCGAAGACAAGGAGTTTCATTCTGATATCCTAGCCGTTATGCCACTCGTGATGAGAGGAGTAGAAGTCAAACTACAAGATAGTGAGCTGTTCATAAAAGAGGGCCATTTATATACCGAGTCTATCCAGAAGGGTGAGAGTATGGGTGAAAGTACATGCAGTACGGACTGCGTTTGCTCTCACATACATTTACTCGAATAGGCAGGTGTGCACCACGCCTAAGCCGCCAAGCGGCAAGTCGACCCTCCTGCTGCGACTAAACGTAAGGCCAGCGTGTATTGTGGCAAGATTCTCATTTTTCTCGACAGCCTCCAGGGATCCAAGGGACTCAACAATGTGGGTGAGTTGAGTGGGAAAATACTGCAAACGACGTCTCATATGACGTTTGGATGCTGGACGCTAGAGAACAGGAGCAGACTACGCGAAGGCTAGGTAAGGTCCAAAGCCGGTCCTCACTAACATGCGGATCGTTGGAATTGCCGAGGCTGGTGGGAGATGACGTTGGGTAATATCATTTACTTGACTTGGTACAGATGAATGTCATGGTGTGCTGTAGAGGGATCAGTCTTCCGAGTCCATACATGGGCCACCCTGGCCGTGCTTGAACGTGCCCATTACAATCTGGCCTTCTCCTCTCGCAACTCTCTTGCGACTTCGGGAAACCTCTCATAGCAGTCCTGCTCCGCATCGAAGTTCAGCAGCCATGCTTCTCGAGCCAGGTGGATGCTCTCCGGATTCTTCGCAATCTCTTCCCAGTTGGCCTTGTGCCATCTTTCTCGCGTCTTGACGCCCATGGCTTGCGCCCGATGGACTCTCTCATATCGTATCTTCTCATACGCTCTTACTGCCAATGGGATATCCTTCTTGCCAGCGAGCTCCAGACACGCTGCGAGAACCACGCCGTCCTCGATGGACTGACTGGCTCCTTGGATCGAGGTTGGTAAGAACGGATGCGCAGCATCACCAACGAGAGCGATACGCTGCTTTGGTGAGATAAAGGTCGGCAGCGGATCGCGAAAGACGAGCTTGAAGTCGATCAACCGCGCATCCTTGGGCGTGGACCTGACAATCTCCTGGACAATGGGCGCCCAACCTTCCACATACTTGAGACAATCTTCCACTCTTCCAGGGAACTGCCAACTCTCCTCGATATTCCCATCATCCACATGCGTAAACACCCAATTGAACTCCTTGCCATCCTTGAGCGAGCTCACCAAAAAGTGCATATCCGGCCCGATGAAGCCCAAATGCGAATCCTGCTCGACAAGATGCTTCAACAGCGGATTCTCCCTAATCACATCCCCCGGAAACCACGATCGATACACCGCATACCCCGAACTCTTCGGCTTGTCATCGAACCCCAACACAATCTTCCTCCCCTTACTCCTCACCCCCTCCGCAGCAACAACAACATCCCCCACCATCTTCACCCCCCCATCCAAAACCACCCCCGCCCTTGGCCCCCCATCCTCCTCCTCACCCTCCTCAAAATACCCACTCACCCTCTTCCCCCATCTAATCTCCACCCCCCTCTCCACAGCATACCGATAGATAATCTCATACAACTCCCCCCTATGCCCATTAATCCTCGGCCCCCATCCCCTTTCCCCGCTAAAATCCTGCCTCGTCACAAACGTCCCCTTCCAATCATACAAATCCAACCATGTCGTCTTGCGCGCCACCGCCCGCATCGCCTCCAGCACGCCCGTCCACCGCGCAAAGTGTCGCGCCCCGTTTGGGTCGAACGAGATGATGTCTCCGTACCGCGTTACCTCGGACACGTTGGCTGCTTTTTCTAGGATCACAACCGTGTGGCCCTTGCGCTCGCATTCTATGGCTAGGGCGAGGCCTGCGAAGCCCGCACCTACGATTATGATGCTGATGGAGGTTGGGGAGGGGTGCGGGGTGCGTGGTGGTGTCATGATGTGGGTGTAGGTGTGGGTGTAAGTGTGGGTTTGCCTGTGGGTTTGCCTGTGGGTTTGCCTGTGGGTTTGCCTGTGGGTTTGCCTGTGGACTTTAGGCTTTAGGATTGGGACTGGAGAGTACGGGACTTGTGCGGCTATGGCAATGATGCCACTGCGTTAGGGGTTTTAATCATTTATGTAAAGGGAGTATAGATAGAGACGGATCTAGCTAGAACACAAAGTGTGTGGGGTTCGGCTGATGATGGGCGGTTGTCAGATTAAGTGATGTCCCACATTCAGCCTGATTGTGAAGGATGTGGGTAGCGAGATAAGCTTGGTATTGAGCCTATGCACGGGGTTTTTTTTTGTGCGGGGGTGGAGTTTTGAAATGTCTTCTTTTCATAAAATTGATAGTGTTGCTTTGGGAAAATCAAGGGTCAAGAGACGATGAATCGGTTTTGGGATATGGGAGGAAGTGGAGTCTGGGGTAATTGTGGGACTATATGTGTATATGCATCCTTGTCTGCGTAGTCTTGTACATGGTAATATACTTTTGGGCTATGACAAGGGATAAGCACATCAGCTTACAGTATCCGGACAATGTTACATCGGGTAACTAGGTCGCAATCTTTCCACACAATATCGACTCAGAACACCATAGCTCACTTCCTCCCCGTCCATCCTCTCATTACTCAGCAAGTCTTCTTCGCCCTCTTCGCCTTCTCCGACTTGTTCGCAGGAACCTAATCATGTCCCCAGCTCCTCCTCAGACGCACCGCCTGCAATCCCCTTTCCCTCTATTCTCTTGCTCTTATCCACATCCACAGCTCCCCACGTCCTCCTGTCATGATACCCCGGCAATACCCCTACCTCATTCAAAATTCTAAACCGCTCCTCATACCATCCCCTCTCCCCAATCTCCACAAGCTGGTGCGCAAAGCCGATTCCAAACGGGATACCCGCACCCTCGAAGCCATACAGGCGCGCATCTGCAGCGAGGAGAAGGGCATAGCGCACTAGGCACGCGACATCTGCTACGCTCCTGGCTAGCGCAAAGGCCGGGTGAAGGTGAACATGGTGCTGGATGTTGGTCCATGAGGAGCTGGAGCCAATACCGGGGACGTGGCTGACGTGTTGGTCGCGTTGGTTGAATGCGGCTAATTCTATGGGTGCGTGTGGTGCGGCGCCACTGGGCGTGGGTCCACCGGTAGTGCTGGCGGGGATGGTTTGGTATGCCCAGATGGAGTATGTTCGTCCTATGAGGGGGTAGTAGTCGGGAGGGAGGTAGGAGCCGAGGCGGACGGTGATGGGGAGGTAGCCGTCTTCTGCTGTGGCGTCGTCGTAGGTGAGGGAGGAAAAGTTGGGGAGGTATTGTATGCGGTGTTGGCCGATGGCGAGATGGAGGTCACGTAGGGAGGGAGGAGGCGGTTTTCTGGCGGAAGAATCTGTTTGAGAGTGTGTTGGAGGTTGGGGAGGATTTGTGGTTGCATGCGTGCTGGGAGTTGAGATGATAGGCGAGATGCTTGAATGAGCTTCAGCACTAGCTGTGGTGAGTAAAGAGCTTTTGGTACCCAGACTGTGTTTGTGGGTGCCTTTTGTGGATTCTAAAGTCTGGAAGGGTGTTTGTTTGACCCGAGGACCGGACAAGATTTCTGTGTGGAATGTATTAACGTCGCAAGAGACGGCTTGGGATGTGTCCATAGGAAGCTTATTGGCATAATAATTTACACCTCCCCGCGTAGCAAGTGTCTGTGGCGCTTCGATACTCGCCTTTGTAGCATCGACCGTCGGCCTGGGTTGATGAGATACCAGACTACCCAGATCATGCCATTGTTCAGGCCGAGCAAGTAAAGAAGCATCACTCGAATGAGAAGATGTGCTGTGACCTACCTTTTCGGATGAGTGGCTCACCGGTGAACCTCCGTAACTGCGCGTCGGGAGAAAGAGCGGCATTATATGCTGCGTTTGCAACAAGCCGTTGCAAATCCTGTGTATTAAATAGCATGGATGTGACGGTTCCCTTTGAATCTATCGTTCAAAGGTTCGATGCGTCTTGATGTGAGCAACGAGGAAAATGCCACATTTGAAGTGACACGGCGTAGAGACACTGACAGTCGGGTGTGGAGAGACTAGTGCGTGTTATCAGTGTGCAAGGCACAAGGTCGGTGAACATGCGCGGCCACACTCCTTTGGCCTTTTTATCCCTACGTTGCCCTTCCTCTAAACTCGCCATTCGGACTTGCTATAAACTATGTTAGCAAAAACGGATGGTCCTGTAGCTCTCATCGAACGTACCGTGAATCTTTGTAGCACATAGCTTCGGCGGTCTCATAGTAGCCTTTAGATGGTGTGGGCATGAGCAAGCCGAGTAAAGCACTAAACACCCCGTTCGAGCACAGCTTTCTTGTAAAAAACTGACAGTTCGTTTTGTTGGGAAGTATGTTTCGTAATCTCAATTAAATGCCCCAATCCGTCGCATGTATCTTTAGATTTTGGAGACCATACTGGGCCAGAAAATCTGTAGGCAGGCCTAGCTTCGGATTATACAGTTAAGCAGAGGAATAGAGATGCGAAAACGAAAAGAGAATAAGAGAGAAGAGAGCGTGACGAGGAGAAGACAAATATAGAGATAGAAGCGAGAGGGGAACACAAGCTGACATAAGAAGAGGAGCTGCGAAGAGAGGAAGAAAAGGGATTGGAAGTAAAGAAAGGTTGCGTGTAGACTCAAAGCTGCCATTAGCAGTCGACTATGTATTGGAAACCTTGGTATGCTGAAGATTTAGGACTAGAACGTGAAACAAAACCATAAAACGAGCCTAGTTTGAGCTTTAGAGAATGTTTGGAATGTTTGCAACATGCGCCTCAATTTGGGACAAACAGCACTATGCCTGCTTGTGTTGTTTTGGAGGAGCAAGGTGGTCACGTCCGCCGACTCACGTGACAATCAATCCACCGGGGGTGCATCGCTTCTACCGTAGACATGCATGGATAGATCCGAAAATAGCCTGGTTGTTCTGAGGATGAGAGTGAATGGGTAATAGTATCCCTACAATGTGTCAACACACCATACCTGGTCACACATGCAGTTCACAATGGGATGGCAAGGGGGTGGTGCCTGGCGGAAATACAATTGACCGAAATAGAGGAACCTCGGACGTCGGAGGCGGCTGACGTAGCGTCCACGTTGCATCTTCATGTGCCAATTGGCTGTCGCCCAACCTGTACATCAACACTTGCATCTCGTCCCAAACTTCACTGCCGTTATCTTGACGGGGTTTGTGTCGCGCATTGGCGGTTTTTGTTTTTGATATTCAATGTGCCCAGCCCCTTAGCACACGTTTTTATTCCGCCCACTTTGGGGCTCGACACCATGTCAAAGGAGAATCGCGCTTTCGATACCGAGAGGCTGGGTGCTGGATATGGCTTCCAGTCGTTTCCAAAAAAGGCAGTCGGGTTGCCTCCAACTTGGGTGTTGATAGTGGGCTTGGGCTTCTTACTGCTCGCATTGGCGTTTTGGGTAAGGAAGAGACGGTTGCGATCGATCAATTCGCACACTACCTTCGCTAATACCACGGCTATTTAGGTTTATATAGCCTTGACCCTCCTTGCGCCAACACCTCGCCCACCGCGTCGATCAGAAAAACAGTACATCACCATTTTGCCGGATGGCTCGCGCAGTGAACCCAACCCGTTGCCATGCTGGCTGGATAAGTGGGCGGCCGAGAAGGAGACCGCGAAGAAGGAAGCGGCCAAGGAGCCAGGCGCGAAGGTAGTGATACCACCGCAAATGCCCATTGAAGAAGCGGAGCTCTTCATGAGCGTTGTGGTGCCTGCGTACAACGAAGAAGAGCGATTGGAGGGAATGCTGGAAGAGGCCGTCGAATTCCTTGAAAGCGAATACGGTAGTGCACATGATGGAGAGAAAGGTCAACGAGAACAAAGAGGCTGGGAAATCCTGTTGGTGAGCGATGGGAGCTCTGACAGAACCGTTGACAAGGCACTGGATTTTGCAAGAGAACACCAACTGAACCAACACCCTGCACCAAAACCTGGACCATGGTCGGACAAAGGAGCTGCACATGCGACACATATTCCACATGGTAGTATACGTGTCATCACGCTCGAAGAGAACCGAGGAAAGGGAGGGGCAGTTACCCATGGTATGAGACATGTGCGTGGCCAGTATGTCGTCTTCGCAGATGCAGATGGTGCCAGTCGATTTGCAGATCTCGGCAAGCTTGTCGAAGGCTGCAAGAGTATCGAAGACAAACACGGACGAGGCGTTGCAATTGGCAGCCGCGCCCACCTCGTCGGTAGTGAGGCTGTCGTCCAGCGGTCAGCTCTTCGCAACTTCCTCATGCACTCCTTTCATATCCTCTTGCGTGTCATGACGCCTCCCGCCACAGCCAGGATCAAGGACACCCAGTGTGGTTTCAAACTTTTTTCACGCCCCGCGCTACCATATATTGTTCCCTACATGCATTCCGAAGGCTGGATCTTCGATGTTGAGATGCTTATGTTGGCGGAAAGCGCCAACATCGCCATGATCGAGGTTGCGATTGGATGGAAAGAAGTCATGGGGAGTAAGCTGAATGTCGTGTGGGATAGCATCGGCATGGCATGGGGCCTCGCGCTGTTGAGAGCCTGCTGGATAGCTGGCATCTATAAAAGGGACTAGCATATGGATATGCAGAAAATAAGATTACTTCTCCTCAGGCGCTCGGCCGAGCGGACTATCACCGATAATTCAAGGCACATGGCTCTTTTCAACGTGAAGTCCATCCACAAATCACGTCACTTACGGCGCCTCCAACGTCTTTGCTCGGCTGCTAATCCCAATTCGTGTGTGACGGACACAAAATTTCCGATCAGCTCAGATCTTGGGGATTCCACTCCAAGGACCGGAGCCATCTTAGGCACATCCATCACAATTAGGCAACAAGGCAAGTCGACGCATGGACGTCCATGTCGCTCGAGCAATGCAGCACGACCACCAAGTCTGCTGGGTTATAGGGATCGGATCGACCCTGGTTCCTTGAGATGCCCATCTGGAGGATCGTAGCAGGGGAGGGTGTCCCACAATCTGGACAAGCCTAGTCAGCGGACGCAACGCGGCCCATTGTTCCTTTCAGCCGGTCGGAACGGCTCCTAAACCTGCGCGATGGTCGACAAGGGACAGGGCTTCTAGCGCGCCGTATACGAATCTACGCGTATGTACGGTACACGGCAACATGAACATCAGTAAGCAGCCAAATGGTCACAGCCTTTGACAGGTCGCCACGGCGAGCAGATGGGCGCACGTCAGTCCTCACCTGGGGCTAGGTTCAACCGTCGATGAGTTCGTTTGTGGACCCGTTGGACCTGGTGGAGGGAGCGAACCGAGAGGTCAGCCAGCATACAGGCACAGCGTGCGCTGGCAAGCTTGGCACGGTACCTAGTGGGCTTGGTTACACATTCACTGTACGGTCAGACGCGAAGTAGCCATTACGACAGATGAAGATTCGACCCCAGTGGTCGAGTTCGGGTAAGTCATCATGCAGTCGGTCATCTGCTCACGCTGCTGTTCCTGATTCCATGTCAAGGTCGGTGATGGGAAATTTGGCTACTACATACCGGTACCTCGACCTCAACCTCTGGTGAACCAGTAGGTCCGTGAATGCTCATCACCTGAAACAATAGCTCATGGCGATGCACGAGCGCTGGCCCTATGAGACATTTATGGTGGTGGACAAGGAAATCTTGCGCCGGTTCGCAGTATACAAAAGGTCGGTGAGGTGCGGTATGGCTGCCTAATGTCACATATCTTGAGAAATTCAGGTACAGGTACACACTGACCATGGGTATACGAGATGGCGTACAGCCTGTGACCAGAATTCCGGTTCAGATCTGCACATCCAACATTTTAGGCCAGGTACAGGTCGTCTAAGCAGGTGCAGGTGCAGGAGCTTGCATGCCGACTAGAGGTGTAGAGACCAGGGCTTTCACAAGCAGTTGGTCTACAATTCGACCGGCTATTACCCGAGCTGTATGGAAGATCACCATCCGTCCCTTTCACTACCTTGCGCACCGGTCAGTCTCGAAGAAATACCCGGGGTTTCCATGCTCTTTCCTGGAGAACGCCAGATTGACAACGCTAGGTTTTGGATCATTTCCACACGCCGCTTTTACTTCCCTCTCTCCTTCACCTGCTACACGCCATATGTGTTTCATGAGAGCTGTGTGTGAGGTATGTGCGGGAGGTCCTCCATCCATCGCAGCATATATAAAGTCAGCTTGTTTGGAGACAATGATCACATCTCACGCTGCCGTTACGAACTTCAATCACCACTTTCACTATCCCTTCGCCAGTGGAATCTCTGGCTGTGTTTTCAATGTCTCCAAACGAATCATCACCTCTAAACACAACGGTGCCTGGACAACCAAGTCCCCGCAAACGGCGTCCCAATTCGTTAGTTTGACAGTATCCTCCGAAGCTGCTAATCGCTAACTGGAGACACAAGCATGAAAGCCGAATGTGCATGCTCCATCACTGCCAAGGACCCTCACCCAACCGATCATACCGAGATCCAGATTCCTCCCATGGGTCCACCCCCCGATCTTGCCTCAAAAGAACTTCAGTTCAAGCATCTAGGCTCGCAGTTCTACGACAATGATGGAGGGGGGTTCTAGGCTACGCAGGAGTGCCATGAGTTTTGTCTTTGTATTTCCCGAGTCTGAGTATCTCCCATGGCACGTGGGACTTGGGATGTGTTATGATAGTCGTGGGAAGATGGCGTGTATGAGTAACAAGTTGTAACCCCTAATATAGACACGGGCCCCTAATCTGTAAATTAAAGTGTAATTTTACCCATCATCCTTTGGAACTCTCGCGTACAATGTGAAAAAGCCTAAAGCGAGATCAGATGACAGCATTCAAAATTGAAGCGTCAGCAGACAAGAAATTCAAGTCGATCCTCAGCAACAAGATTGCAGATTTAGTATGCCGGGGTGTCCGCACCATCCTAAAACGATCAATGCATGAACCTGCATACGGACTTTCGCATGTCATTCGATCAAGACCGGCAAGAATAAATTAAATCCCAACGGTCGGCAAGGTTATACATTATAGGACGGCGGAACCGCTTCCATATTGGTAAGGAACAAGCATTATCGCGATCTCGCATGCAAGTGTCCCGTCGATCAATCCTCGAACCCTTTTAAAAAACAAATATCTGTACCACCTATACCGGTACTGTGCCAATAACAACTGGATGACAACAACACGGTAGCATCGTCACAACCTACCTAGCCCACTGCACTGTATCCAACAGCCTCAACAATAAAAATTCCCCATAAACCTTAAAAAAAAAACCCCCAATACCCTTATTCCTCCCCAGCCCCATCTAACTATCCATATTCCTCCACACCATCAAACCCGTCTGCGCTGATTAAAATCGCGCGATTAAATCTCCCCGAGCGATGAAGACGATGGACAACAACAAATCCGGCCGGCTTCTTCGCTCTAACCGTATGTGCAAGCCCGACTGCCGGAGATGAGCACACACGTAACTGTGCTGACGCGGCGGTAAACGCAGGGCTGTGATTGACGCAAAAGAGCGCGTGCGACGGGCTCTGCTGCCTCTGCGTTATCCGAAGCTGTTTAAGCGAAGCGAGAAATTTTTACTATCTTACATTTTGAGGCTCAATTGCGAGTTACAGTTGCAGTTGTCAGCAGGAAGGTTTGCAGTCTCGATTGACATTGGGGAACTTCTGTCGCGGGTCGCTGGAAATGGATGCAGGTATAATGTTGATGTATCGAGCGAACTGTATGACAAGGTTAGGGTGATGCACAAATGAGTGACCGAGACACTGTTGGGCGTTTCTAGAGTCAGGATTGGGATTGGTCTCTTTTGATACTGTATTTATGTTGCAAGATCGTGTGCATCGTTCTGCTTGCTATGGTATTGTTGACGCATGGGGCTAAGAATAACCTGGATTTTTGTAGAGTCAGATACGGCTGGCCACTGATAAGAGATTGAATAACAAGATATCAAGTCTATCGCTTGGTTGGCGCGGTGGTCGTGACCAATGTCCAAGTGCACCTTGTGTCCATGCAACCATGTGTGAATTTAGATTGTCATAGTGGCAGCATTTGCAACCCTCTCGTCGTTTCAAATCAATATCGTAAGGAAAATGAATTTTGGAAGGAGATTTATATTCGATTGACGCCATATGTCAGTCTACCGAAAATTGCAAACGTGACGCATCGTCCTCTGATCTCATTGCACTTGATGTCTAGCAAAATGTTCCCAAACTACAATAGTTATTGACGCGATCAGACGTGGCATTCGGGAAGTGAATTCTCCAATCAAATATGAGTGCCCACGCAACTCAACATTTGACAGTTGCATGCTTTTCTCGTCGGTAATGTTTTAATAGCAAATAACAAAGCTTAATCATAGTCACGAAACCAGTGCCATCACTCGAATTTCGCGACCCATCCGTCGCCAATTCTTTCTCCTTTTGCATCCATACCGCCCCAAAAGACAACACTGTTGCCCGTTTCCATGACATCTGCGCCAAAGAACGCTCTTGGGCCTGGATGAAGCTTGCCGTTCTCATCTTCCAGTTCCTTGTCAGCAGGAACCTGCACGACAGCCTCTGACCAGGTTAGATGACCCGTCTCAGCGCCGATTGCGGAGCGTATAGCGTCCTTGATCTTTGCTGGTTTGATCGCTTCCTTGAGGGAGAGAGCAGGTTTAGCCTCCAAGTCGCTTGATGGAATTTGGAGAACCCATGTGTCGCTGAATTGAGTGATTTCTCGTGAATGCGCCAGGTCTTCAGGTTCTGTAGTTGAAGTTGCTGGTTCATAGTTGCAAGCCCCCAGAAGATATACCAAGTAGTTACGACCATATCCTGTGCTGATCGGAAGAAGTGCGCCTTCACGTCGTGCACGAGGACCGGGCGCCAATGGGTTGGTTGGAAATGTAAACGATTCCCATGACATCTCCTTCTGAGACGAAGAAATATTCAAATGGTGTATCTGACTGCTTAGCGGATCTGACCCCGAAATGAGCCATAGCTCGCCATTCATCAATGCTGCATTCGAGGCTGCTATGGGCGCGGTGGGCAGTTGTGCCCAAGTCCGTGATGCAATGTCGAACTGCCAGAGATCCGAAGCATTGTCTCCCGACCCATCGACTCCGCCAAATAAGAGAACGTGCGTGTCATTCGCGAAGAGTTGGGCATTATGGCGTGGTCCAGGAGCGGCATGCTCGTTGACTGATGCAAGCATATCCCAGGACTTCCTCTCCGGGCTAAAGAGCCACACAGCAGACTTCTCATCAATAAGTTCACCACGCTCATCACATCCTCCATACACAGAAATGTTCCCTCGGAAGGCACACGCTGCGTGTTTCGATCGTGCGGCAGGTATTTTGCCACCATCAAAGGTTGAAAGTGCAGGGACCAGACTGTAGTCCATTTCTGGCTTACCAGAATGCTCAAGAGTAATAACATGAATATCAGTGCTAGCAGGTATACCGGCCGTGGTTTCACCGCCGAATATGTATGCCTTGTTGCCGATGACTGTTACTGTATGACATGAACGTGCCAACGAACGTCTACGATGATTAGAACTCGTTTTAGAGTGAACATGGCTTCACAATTACCGAGACTCATCATCTGACGCCGTTGCTATGCGCGTAAATGTTACCTTGAGAGGCAGTGTCGGCTTCGAGACGATGTATGCTGCATAACCAGCTTGGGCCGTGTGCTCGATGAACTCGGCCGCCACATAGGCGCCAGCAGCGATTTCTGCCATTACGAGTGTCTTGATAATGAGGGGATCCTCAGTTGAATGGAATTTTGTATGAAGAGAGGTACAAGTGATGTGGACAGAGTAACTGTTGGGAGTATGGAGGGGTGGGTTTTGGCCATAGCTAATGCAAGGTACGAACGCTCATGACGTCAGATGCGGTAGCGGTACCTACTTGTCTCACAATGTCAGTCGCGAATGTTTACTTGAGACTTGCCCGATAACTTTCTTGTATTTTTATCGCAAAGGATGGCCCATTAGGAAGTGTATTTAGGTAATATTAAAAAGAAAGGTTATAGCAAGGTGAGTGACGTTGAAGAGAAGTCGAAGTGAGAGTAACAATGATAATGAGCATTCTGCAAATGATCGCCGTCTTTTGATTCTTGCCCTTGAATGGATACAGAACAGTGTGAGTAAGGTCTTGATATTGGATGATTGGTATGCCTCCAGCTGTTGGACATGAGGCCCAGGTAGTAACAATTTAGGAGCGGGAAAGCGGCAGCTGCTCAGGAAAGCGATCTTTCCCAGGTACCCCTTAATATATTTCAAATAGGTTATTCGGCCAGATTAATTCCTAAATGTGATGATTTAGGGCTCACAAATGCCTGCATATGAAGGGTGTTTATGCCAGCTCGCGCAAGGCTGATAGTACGCGCCGCATGCATTGTCATCTTTCTTGCCTTGTGTCTTCAACCAGGGTATGACGACATGTCATGTTTCCGCCACCTATCATTGTGTACCTGAACTTGTTCTGCAATCACCTGACACCACATCATTCCATCGCTCATGTTACAGTCAGGCGTCCAACGCCATGCCTGTCCCCCTGGTCGGACAAAGATAACTGGCTGTGGCCACATCCATTGGTTTCTACCTGATCCTACAGTAATCCGGGAGACCGAGAGCCCGAAAATGGGTGGCCGAATGAACGACGACTTTGATATAATTCACGACTCATCTCAGAGAACATCTACATCTCTACACAAACTTCATCATGTCACATGCCACTACTCTCGCCTTCAGTGCTATTTGCACAATTTTGCTGGTAAGGGGCCTTGCTTTGGGTTAGCACGCAACGTTGACCCCTCAACGACCCAAATATTCGACACTTTCTAATGACACTCAGGTACTTTGTAGAATATTCTACAACATCTATTTTCATCCTCTTCGTCATTATCCTGGACCAAAGATCTGGGCCGCCAGCCGATTAAGATGGGCATATGCAATGCAATCTGGCACCTATCATCTCAACTTGCGTGATCTACACGCAAAATACGGTCCAGTTGTACGCGTTGCTCCCGATGAGTTGTCATTCACTGAACCAGGTGCCTGGAAAGATATTTATGAAAACCGCAACATAGCGAAGACTTCAATCTGGGCAGGCCAAGAAGAACACCACCACCCTATCAGTATTGTGAGTACCGATGAAGCCACACACCTACGCAATCGCCGGGCGTTGGCTGGTGCATTCACTGAGCACGCCATCTCCGAGCACATGGAGATCATTGGAGATCTTATACAATTGATGATGCTTCGGTTCAGTGATGCTGCCAAAGATGGCAAGCCTGCCGTTCTGGACCTTGCCGATTGGTTCAACTTTTTGACTTTCGACATCTCTGGAGCTTTGTCTTTTGGTGAATCGTTTGACAGTGTGGCTAGTAGTAAGGCTCATCCGTGGGTGGCGATCAGCTGTGGATTCGGTAAAGGCATCGCGCTCATGGCAAGCATCAACTTCTTCTCCCCCTTGAACAAGCTGTTGAAGCTTGCTATGCCACACAGCGTTATGGAAAAGATGAAATATCACAAAGAGATCTCACACCAGAAATTGCTGCAGCGACTCAGCATGGAGCACAAGACTAAAACCCAAGACTACGTTGGCTCGATCATGGCGTACAACAAGGAAAAGGGTGAAATCAAGATTCCGCAAGACGAGATTGAAGCGAACATGACTCTTCTCATCTTTGCTGGAAGTGAGACGACAAGTACTGCAATGACAGCCATAGTAAATGGACTGCTTCAAAATCCGTCATGTCTTGAAAAGGTCCAACGAGAGGTGCGAGAGGCGTTCGATTCCGAAGAAGAGATTACAGACGCCAAAACAGCTAAGCTCCAATATCTTACTGCTGTCATCCAAGAGGGTATCCGCATGGGACCACCTGCTGCCATTGGGTTACCACGGGTAACACCCGCGAGGGGGTCTCAGATCTGCCGGAAATTTGTACCGGGGAATGTAAGCACATCTTCGTGATCCCCACATCACATAACAGACCTACTAACGACCCTTAGACGCTCGTCGCGGTGAATCAGTATCCCACATTTCGCTCCGCATCCAACTTCACGCAGCCCGACTCATTCGTACCAGAACGATTCCTGCGCGATTCGCCATTTCCATCTGATCGTATCGATGCATTTGAGCCATTCCTACTTGGACGTCACAAGTGCATAGGTCAAAAGCTGGCATGGACAATAATGCGATTAACGCTTGCGCGGCTGCTCTTTTCGTTTGATCTGCACGCAGCTGAAAAGCCGAGAGATTTTGGTACGCAAAAGACGTACATCTTTTGGGAAAAGAGGTCTCTGAAAGTGGAACTCCGGTATCTTGATAGAGAATGAGATATGAGAAGGATGCCCATATCGGCAATTGTATGGGGACGTTATTCGTGAAGTAAATGCAATACATGTCAAACTTGGCACTACGTCACGTATGAGCAGATAAAAACTTTTGTTGCCCATAAGACTATTAAGACCAGTAGGCGCGATATAACTATTCAACCATCCATCTGTAACTGTGATCTGTGTGTCTAATGCTAATGATAGAGAAACCAAGCTCAGCCATGCCCACTAATTTTGTATTGTCAACAAACTAGAAGAATATCTACCAGATTTTTGGATTGCAATTCAAATATCAAAAAGAATCATGCAATGGAGGGAGAAAACATAAATTCGAGATAGCGGGATTGCCGCAACTCTAGTCTCTGTCAACTGCCTTAGTCCCTGAAATGGAATATCAATTCTCTGGTTCACAAATGAGGTGTCACAGGCAATTCTCAGCGACAACGCCGGTCTGGAAGATGCTAACAGTAGTGAAGCTGCATTTCTGCATTAAATTAATTCTCTCCGCAACGTACAAGCTATTGTTGAATTCTTTTCCCGAGATTGCTGGAATTCATGGAGAGCGCTGAAGTTCGAATCATGCACAAGACTTCACGCCCGACCGGACCTGTCGTTTTCTCAGCCTGATCTAAAGCAAGCTATCGGTGAATAAGTTGAACATCTACTATCAAAACGCTCATGTCACAAAAGCCTACACATAGGTTTTTGGAATTTTCATATTTTTGTTGCTACTGAGTCAAATAAACACAGTGACTTCAACATTATGCTCTGTCAACATTTGAACCAGTAACAATCCACTGCTTCACAAACGTCGACGCATCGTAAAACAAGGCCATATCTCAAAAATCAAACAGCTCAGCCACTACTCCCGATTTTTCAAGTGTCCCAATCTGCCTGTTTGGAAGTCTTAGTGCCTACTATTATCCATGGATAACCGGTCCAAGCTCAGCAAGTTACAACATGGCTCACGACGTTCGCTTTAGCGCACATACTGCTACGTTGTAAATTTGCCTTTGTCTTGTTTCAGATGGTCAGTTTTACGACTAATGGTTGCATAGAGTGCAACGGTATTGTGTAAAGTTACGGGGGACGTCTCCGGTCCTTTCGCACGGTGCTAGGGGTTCGCCGAAAACGTTGTGGGCGGTCAGGATGCAGGATTGGTTTGATCTTGTTATGTTATACATGGCGAAGGGCAAGAGTGAAGATGCAAGCACAAGTAATCCTGCGCCTGTAGATGTATGGTGCGGTAATAAGGAGCAAATGGGAAGGTAAAGATGAGAATACAACGTCAGGTAAAATGTGACCAAAGTCATGAGGGAGGATTTGGAAATATTTACATGCAATTTTTAAAACAAATTCATTCGTTCAAACTGAAAAAACAATGCTAGTGCTAGCCTTCTATATTGATCTGATCCAAGATGTAAGATGTGGTCGAAATTCCAAAGCCATGACCACCACATGTTCGCCCAATGCCAGGGGCGGTAAGAATTTGACAGGGGAATCTACAAAGTTCCCTCTCCAATGCAGCGCGGCATTGGCATCTTGTCCTGCACGCACAGGGTGATCATGCCATCCACCCAGTTGAGGTTGCCGTAGCTCTTGGAGGTGAAGGAGTCGGCTTGGTAAGGCGTCAGCGAGCCCTCCTCACCAATCTTGCCCTTCCAGACGTTTCCGCTCTCGCGGTCTGTCCACGCATTGCTCACAAAGGCACCATACTTTCCAGCAGGCACCTCTGCAGAGAACTGCTGGGTTTGGTCCGAGGTCCAGGTTTGGGTGTAGTCAATCTTGGTTGTGACGGAGAGGAAATCCTGGATGAGCTTGACCTCGCTGCTCATGCCGACAGCGAGTGAGTTGGCGATTGAGTAGCCAGAGGTGACGGTGACCCTAGTCTTCTCCGGGCCTCCCTTAGTGACGCTGCTCATGATGACGTCCCAGCCTAGGAAGCGTTGGTGGGGGTTGGGGATGATGAGCCTTTCGCCATCACGTTTTTCGGCCGCTACGGCCTGCCCCTCAACGGACTTGTTCTTTCCGCCGGCGACGACAAACATGCCCTCTTCCAGCTCGGTGGGCTTGGGTGGGAGGACACCGGACTCTCGGATCTTTTGGATCTCGTCGACTTCGGATCGCTTGACGATGGCGTAACGACCTTTTCCGTAAAGAATGACATCGTCGAGACCAATGTTGATGGGCTCTGGTGCGGGTGCGGCGGCGATGAGTGCGGCGCTCGAGGCAACAATCAATGCTTGGAGGAAATGCATTTTGAGTGAAAGATGTAGGTTGGAGAAGAGAATGTTTTTTTTTGTAATGAGCGTAGAATGCTGCAGTGTTTGAATGCCTTGTGAGGATGAGTGGTTGACTTTGCAGTGAAATGGCCATCTATATATACGCGAATTCTCACCTGCCATTCCATGCATTCATGTAACTCTCGGAACAGTTGCCCGCCATCACCTTGTTTCAATCCATTCTTCCTCTGTCAAAACGTACTCTATAATTGGCGATGTTTACTTACAATGTGACGTGCAGAAACCTATCGGCCCGAACCAAGGTGGAGTAGAATGATGTGAATCTTAATAGGACTTTGCTTCTGAAAGGGTGGAGATCTGGTTGAGCTTGGGTACACAATCCTGAATCTAGGGTTGTGTTTCCGCCAGTGGTTCGCGTTAGTGGCTTTCACGATACCTGTCATTGAATCGGCCCGATCCGCATGACTACTCAATCTTAGCCCCCCACATAGCCAAGCAGATAGACATCATTATTCTAGAATTCTTCCGCATGAGAGGTTCCTACAATCCTCCTGGCTCATTTGTATCCGTATTCAAGTAGCCAAAGGCAAGTTGACCGGTTATCTGGTGACGTCCTACCATGGAGAAACAGACATTGGCGTTCCGGATAGGTTGGGGCTCCGCAAACTGTGACGAAGAAGGTTAGGTGAGGGTCATGTCAGGATAGCTGATGATTATGATTGTGACTCTATTCTTGCACGCTGGCTGTAATTGAGAGGCGATCGGATGCTGAGGGCTGTGTATAAGTATCTCGAGGCAGACCGGTAGAATCATCTCATCACTCAACGACTACCTTGCTACACTCACTCATTCGAGCCTCCTCACTGCTCAAGTCCTTCTCTTATCTTGACACCATTCTCTCGTTTTCACATTCAATCCTCATCCAACCTTCATCAACATGCGTACCGCATCAGTTTTCGTCGCCCTTGCCGCACTCCTCACACCTTTTGTTGCTGCCGACTTGCACCACAGTGGAGTGTGCGTAAACGGGAAGAATGTGTACAACAAGGACGCCACAGTCAAGGCTTGCGAGGCGTACCTCAAGAGGAACACTGGAAATAAGCAGCACGAACAGTGCCCAGACTGTGTCATGGTTGGTAGCCTAACTTGCATATTGCACCCACCCACGACTTGCTAACACAGATGACAGAAAAACATTGGAAACCTCGATGTCTGCAACTCTGCTGGATGGCACATTGGAGGCAAGGAGTTGAGCCAATACTGCAAGGATGCGGGAGCCTCAGGGTCCTTGGCGAACTAAAGTTCTAGAAGCAAGTTTGACTGTTTATATTTGAGAGAGGAGGGAGGAGGAGGAGGAGGAGGAGGAGGAGAAGGGTTTGTTATGAATTTCCATAGATCGGTGACAAGCCAAGAATTTTAGATGATTTTGTCATTTTTTACATGTTAGCTGTTGTCAATCGCCTTGATGCAGTCTTGTGTTGTACAGAACTTGCCCTCTCATTGTTGACGCGATCCTCTACCATCTTCGCAGCAAGGCTGTGGGGGACGACTGGTTTGGGCCGGGACTGTTAGGAGGATGGCGGAACCTTCAAGCTTTTGGATCCCCTGAAAGGACACCAGCGGTAGGAAGCTTGTGCACATGGTGTGGAATATGATCCTATTGGTTCTGAGATTGTGGTGAAACCAACTAAAATAGTGTGAGGTAGTACGAACTGTACATTGCAATAAGCAATTTCCCATGCGGGGGGCAACCCGCAAGAGCCGCAAGTGGGTCCAAGCACATGGGAATCGTGCTAACAACTCGTGTGCGGGACGTTGGACAGAACCGTGTACACTTGTACCCAACACCAACCACCACTAACCCGCACCCCAGCTTTCCCCCGTTATCCGGACATCCGTTGCCAAGTCGCCAGCCAGCAGGCTTCAAGATGGTGCTTTTGGATGAAGTTGCTCTACCACGAAATCCAGTCCAATCTCGTCGTGAATGTAGGTGCGATGGCCCCTTTCTTGCACATGGCCATTTCTGTGCTGTCCACCAGTGCAACCAGTGCAACCGGATCTGTCGGTTTTGACGCCATTTTCAACAAGTAGCTATGCAGGGGCACGCATGAATCGTGTAATGGGCAAGTGCCACAGCCGGTCTCAAGACGGAGTCGAGTGTGCACGTAGGCACATGACTACCTACCGGTATGGCACTGTATGACGTCTGCAGCTCCTGGTAACTGGGTTATGATCCATGGCTGGCTGCCAGGCAGTGGTAAATACCAGTTTGTCCAAGTAGGTATGCGAGATCGCAAGGGCCGACATGGTGTTATTTCTGGCTAGATTGGCGAGCTCGATGGGCTTGCAAGTGTAGGGCAGGTATTGCGCCCGCTTACTCTCCTCTACGAGCTCTGGTCCCGGGCCAAAGCCATCCGAGGGGGCCATCCGAGGGGCATGCTTGGTCGGTGCTCCAAACCAAGGCAAGCTTGGCGAGCGACACAAACTCTGGACTGTGCCAATGAGCGGTCTGCGCCAAAACATGTGTTTGCTAGGGTGTCCGGTTTGAGTGCTTACTCGGCAATTTAGGTGCTTACATGTTGAAAAGAAGCAAAGCACATGCGGCCCCGTGGCGGTGGTCGAACGTACAGAGTAGGACCGAAGTCGCTGTATCAGCAAGCAATAGCCAAATCCAACCTCACATCATAGGTACCTTCTCCAGAGCCATTCTTCTGTCTACCCAAACCACGAGGCTATTTTTGATCATGGCAGTAGATCAGGGGGAACACGACTTGGCCCCCCAAGCCCCAGCAATTCACACAGCTCAAAGTGAACAGACGAGGTCTGAAACTCGCTGCCTCATGCAGGAGCACATGCTCCTTTCGGTTAGTCGTGCATCGTGTGCACGGCCCGCGCGTTGCCGGTCGTCCAGGGCGAAGGATGCTGGCCTGCAGAATATCTCCCCCTTAGGCAACTCGTACTTGCATCACGAGGTCTTTTGATTTGCAGCATTGATTTGTTGCAACGAATTACCGTGCATGGGCTAGGTATGTCGTACCCTTCATCTTCTCGCATTTTCTTGGCCTACCATACCGGTACGTACCGGTACGGTCGGTAGTTGCCGGTTTCCCGAGTGCACTCATTCTGGCCTGCTTCCTTCCCCTACACTTCTACACTTCACCCATGGACCCCTCCATAAACCTCCTTGATTCTTACAATCATAGGGGGTGGTCGAGGCATTGTCTTACTCGAATTACCTGCAAAGTGCATGTTTACTCCTCGAGTCTTGCACATGGTACTCATTTCCATAGCAAAATGCATTACCCCATGTCCTACAGACCCACTGTGGTAGCATGGTGTGTTGGCTAGCTAAGCACTTCCTAACCTTAGCTCATGCCCTAAGCGCTGGAGGCGGACCTGAGCCTTGCCCTCTTCCACATAGACGAAATAAAATATCGTGTCGATCAAACGACCAACCAACGGCCTACCTGTGAGGAAAAACACATCTGGGGTACCAGCAGCCGGCGCGATTCACCGATCACAACGCAAAACTATCGCAAACACTGACACGCTACTCACAACACACGTGGCTAGCAACGCGATTCCATGCACCACTCTCTTCTCAGTCATCTGTTATCTACAGGGCACACCTACCTTTTTCGTGGCTCACAATCTATCTTCAGCCTCCAAGCAGCATACGTGCCTTGTTTAGGGGTGGCATGGTTTGAGGCTACATGGCGCAGCAGTGGCCATGTAGATACTGTACCGCAGAGTACATACTATAGACGCTACAGCCATACGCTCAGACTTGATAACCCATGAAGTCTGCCAGGCGTGTGAAACAGTCGTGGGGGCTGGGTTGGGCGCTCAGGAATAGATTTCTACGCATTTCTACAGGCACAGCGGGCCTGACTCGTTTGTACTTTCGGGTGGGGGTACGTACATGGAGGGTCAGGACACATGATTGATCATTGAGCACCCTCCGAGCTCATGACGGTCTTGGTAGCTGTGCTGGACTAAGCTAGCAGGATACCTGATGGATATCAAGTCCTATCTACATATAATCTGTCTTTATGAAAAACCCTTACCATGTTTGAATGCTTGGCGTGGTGGGAGCAGAGTTGCACCCTGACACCACCAACGTGCCCAAAGAGGTACCAAATTCCATCAAGTACAGACACTCGTGAGTAAAATGATACGCGCACGAGCTCATCTTCATTCACGCCTTCCAATCACATCAGACCCCAAAGAATGGGTGATGCAACACATGCGCATCTAACACAATGAATTTTCTCTCTCTACCCACCTCATTACCCATTCTTCCCCCCAAACACCCACAAATACAAGCAAACAAACGCCCATGTTGTCTGAAAAAAAAACACCCCAGTCCCCATAGAGTCATACAACCCGACAAACTAAACACTGCCCGCAACCTCTCCAAACCACTGCCTCAATGCCCCTGCGAGCACGCCAGGCAGTTCTCGAACATCCCTTACAACAATATAATACCTAAACGGAAACCTCTCCATGTACTTCCACCTCACCACCTTGCCCTCTGCCGTGATTTCCACCGATTGCAAGTCCAGAATACTCGTCTTGTCCATCTCCCTGGGTGCAACAGGTTGGGATACAGTCACCTCATTGGATGGGCGAGGCATGGCTGGTACTGCTGTGGCTGACGCAGGCGCAGCCGTCGTCGTCGTGGCACTCGAGTCAATAATGACAAACACAATCATCACTCTTTCCTCCTGCGCCTTCCTCACCAATCTCTGAATCTCAGCGTGAGAATCGCAAATACCGTCACTGACAATCAGCATAAACTGCCACAGATCCTCGCCCGCGCCATGATTTCCCGTCCGTCTGGCTTCGGCAAACAACTCGAGACTCTTGTCCACGAGACCGCGCACATTCGTCTTTGCCGCCCCGAACCCGAATTGCTCAAATACGCGGACACCGGCTTCAGAGGTAAAGGGCTTGTCGAAGTCGTGGGCAACATTGACGCCGTCGCCAAAGCCCACGACGGAGACTTCGCCGACTTCGAGCATGGAGAGGGATTTGGTGACTAGTGTCATGGTCTTGAGTGCCAAATTGCTCGCCCCGCTTTCAGCCATTGATTTCGAGTCGTCGAGCGCGATCATGACTTGGTAGCTTCGCTTGGATGGCTGGCTGCGACGGAGCCAGATCTTATCACGCTTGTAGCCCGAGGCGATATATGGGATGATGCGCTTCAAGTTGAGCCGCTTACCCGTGCGGAAATCACCACGGAGTTTGGTGGCAAGGGTCGGCGCGAGGATGAGGCGAAGATGCTCAGTTAATTGTTGGGAAAGCGAGTGGGTAGCTGCTTCATGAGAGAACCAGAGTGCGCGGGCCGAGTCTGGCGTCATGGGTGAAACATCGAGGTGGGTGAGCTCGAGCTGTGTCTCTACTTCGTGGACTGAGGAAGTAGAGGATGCATCATCATCTTCGGCCACGGCATCCATCATTTCTTGGTCTTGATTGTCTGGTAGATCCTTTTGCTCACCGATGAAGGCTTGGGGCTGACCTTCCATGGCATTAGACTGCTGTTGCTGCTCTTCGGGCTGTGGTGCATCTTCTGGCTCTGCGTCTGCCATTTCAACGTCCTTGTCCGCACTCATTTGCTCGTCGTCTTCAGGTCGGCTGGGCATCTTCTCCTCGTCCTCATTGACTGGCATCGCCATGTCGTGATCTAGTGCCTTGGCCTGCTCTTCAGTAGCAGTCCCCAGAGCCTGGGTATCCGCCTGGGCTTCCTCATCATTGAGATGCTCAAAGTCCGCATCAGCCATGTCGACTTCCTTGTCAATCTGCTGGACCTGCGTCTCCTCTTTTTCCTGAGCTTCAGAGATTTGCTTTTGCTGGTTGTACCACTTTTCTAAAACATCTCCTAGCTTCTTGAAAGACTGAGTCTCGCGGGTCTCTTCCGGCTGTTCGCCACGTCCGCCAGCATCGGGTGCTGCTTTTTGACCAAGCTGCCCATCGGCATCAGCAGTGTCTTGCTGCTGCTCGGGAAATTCGCCTTCTTGTCCTTCATCCTGATTGGCAGCACTAGCTGAGGCTTGCTCCTTCTTGTCTTTGTGTGCTTCTTCATTAGCTTCTGTACCACCTCCAGCGTCTGCATTCTGATCTTTCTGGTCAGTGTCTTTCGTATCGCGAGGTTCATCAGGAATATTGTCATCCGGCATAGGAACAGCGTCGTCTTCCATCGGCTCTTCAGCCTCTTCCTCTTCTTCCTCCCCTTCCTTCTGGTCATCCTCGATGTGACCGGTAGTATCTTTCTCTTCCTCGCCCTCTTGTTCAGGCCCGATATCCTCGTCGACGGTATCAGGGCCTCCAGGATCCAGTTCGGAATCTATCTCATCTTCTGGCAGATCATCGCCCATGTCCATATCAGCGACATCATCTTCTTTACCGTCCTCGTCCTGACCGTCAATATTGAGATCCTCAGGCAGGTCAAGCGTCTCCTCTTCTTTGGCATGAGGGTCCATCTGCTCAGATTCCCCAGCAGCAACATTCTCATCTTGATCTTCGCCCTCCATCTCCTCATCTTCACCTTCCTGTCCTTCTTTCTTCTCTTCTTCGTCGTTCTCGTCGCCCTCTTCCTCCGGTTTGCCTTCTTTCTTCTCTTTCTGTTCTGCGGCAACCTGCTCATCTTGGTTCTCTGTACCAACATCATCCTTGCTTTCCTTCTCCTTCGCATCGTCTTCCTTTCCACCCTCGTCCCACATCTTCTCGTCAACTGCGCTTGGGCCAAGATCATCGACACTCCCGACTTCGCTTTGGACGTCATCATCACCCTCGTCGCCAGATTCATCACCCTTGTCCTCCTTCTCGCCAACTTCTTCGGTCTCGCCTTCCATGTCTTGCTCACCCATATCAACGGCGTCTTCCTCCTCCTCAATACTGCCTTCGCGCTCTCCCTTCTTTTCTTGCGCCAATTCATCGAGATCCTCATCATCTTCGATATCTTTCGAAATGTCTTCTGCACCTTCTCCTTCACCCAGACCAGTACCAGATTCTAGTTTTTCGTCTTTGCCTGGCTCCTGTTTGTTCGATTTATCTGGCGGTTGACAGAAGCCCTGTGTGCCGATCTGGATGAATGACTTCTGTAGACGACAGAGAAGATTTGCAGTTGCAGCGTGAAGCGCATCGAAGCGGGCGATGAGATAGTTGTGTGTCGCAATGTGTTGATCCAAGATGGGCCGTATGGAAACAAACAGAGCGGCAACGGTGCTCAAATGCTCGCTCTCCCCGAGGAAGCGCATGTTTTCAACAAGGCCTTGTAACGCATCGGTTATTTGCGAGGGGTGTAAGGAATTAAGCGCAGTAGATAGTGCTTGTTCTTCCTTGACCAGCCATGTTGCATCTTCCGTCGAAGCTGGAACGGCCTTCAGGGAAGCCTCGACATCTTGTGCGGATCCAAGGATAAGATCCAGAGCATTGTAAATACGTTGTGCGTATTCTTTCATCGTGACACTGGTATCTTGAATTGATTTGCTTGACTCGATCCATGGCGACTGAAGCAAGAAAGGCTGGATGTGCTTCAACGTTGTCCTTGCAATGTCATCGTTGAGCCAATCCCTGAAAGTCATCTGCAGCTCTCTGAGATTCAAGGCGACTGCCCCTTGTAGTTCTCTATGGGTCTCAGCGACAATGGATGCGGGTAACTTTGGCACCCCTTCGAATCGATCGGCCAGCTCGGTAAGCTTGTCGGTCCATTCGCGCATTGAAACAAGGACAGAATCGAGACAGTTTGTCCTTCCAAGCTTTGCCTGTGCATATATGATGTCTGCACCAGTTTTGATCATCACAGCGAGCCATCTGAGCTGAGGCTGTAACCCGTTCATTGCCTCGATCTGATCAGGAGAAGTCCGGGATAACGAAGTCGCAGCAGACTGGCACAAGCCCGCGATCAGAGCGATAGGAGTCTCGATATCTCTTAAACTTTGCATAGCCTTGCTCAATACGCCCCGTTGTCGAATGGATATATGCAAAAGGCCCTCCAGATACCCAATGCTCTTGTTCACGTCATTGGCTGTTAAGTCGCCGGAGTGTTCTTTGTACACCATTCGTACTTGCGGCATGGTGTTGAGAGACTTGTGTAAGTAGTACTCTGATGCATTGCCAAACTCTCCGCGGCCATATACTAATGGCATCGTGGACAAGACCGTGGATAGCTCATCCTGTTTCGAGAGTGTATCAATGCTCAGATTGTAATTGACACCCATCAAACGAAGCTCCTTCATAGTGTCGGCATAAAGTTTACGCTTCTGGGTCTTGAGATGTTGCACGGACTCTTTGTTTTCTTCCGTCAGCGTGGGTGGTGTCGCTTTCTGAAGCTCAGCCATTGATGACGCCAAATCGGCGATGAATTCGTCAATATACGCTGCTCCATCAACACTGTCGTTATTGACAGTCGAGAAACCGCGCATCATGGAAACTGTCACACCGAGATTTTTGAACCGCATTGGCCGATTTTGCCAGCCTTCTACAGCACCTGCACAAAGCTCGAGGGCTTCAGCGTTTGTAGCCGTTGTGACTGATGACATAGTTGCTGGTACCAATGAGTGGCTACGATCCGGGAAGCCTGCGTGTAGTATGCTGGAAGCGGGCTGATTGAGGAGATTCCTGAACTTTCGGACTAACTTGCTCAACTTGCGATGACTTGTCTTTGCACTTTGCTTCAGCGCCTCGATATTAGTGTCCTTCCAGCTCGCCAACTTGATGACGTCCTTGACTTCCTTCTCGAGGCTCTGACGTCCCTTTGTTAGTGCTTCATGGACCGGCTTCTCCATTCGAGAATAGTATGCAAGGAAGTTGTCCAATGCCGTGTGTATGATGCAGAAAGACTTGACATCTTGCATGCGCATCGCCGCGTGTTGACGAAGCGATTCTAGCAACTTGATGCGCTGTTCATATTGACCCATAGTTGTGGCTTCAAAGAACCCTTCAAGTGACTTGAGTAGGTTCTTTGAATGAGCTTTAATGTCCTTCTCTTCCTCAATGCCCTCCACGGCTGCGATGATCGTCTCATAGGCTACGAAAAACCAACTCCGGGCATCGTCGCGGGACTTCGTCTCTTCGAGATCAAACAACTTCGCCCAAGTAGTAAGCTCAAGTTGACGCCAACTCACCAATAGCTTGGTCAGGTCATCATAGACGTTGGCGGTGCTGTACTCTCTACTAGCAACCTTCTGCCACTCATGCATGTACGTGTACAGCTTCTCGGCCTTTGTGATAAATTTGGCAACAGGATCGACATGTCGGAACTCCAGAGCTTCGTCACAAGTGCGCAGGACGTCTGACAGTGTCTGATGTTCTGGCCAGATGTTTCGAATCTGGCGATAGCGAATTTGAACGCGGTGAATCAGCGCGATAAAACGCTTGGCTTCGGAGAGATTGGCATCGAAGTAGAAGTTGTATTCTTTGCCAGTGCCCGAAGTAGAAAGTGCATCTGCCCTCCTTTCCAGTGCAAGATAGATCGCAGGTAGGGCATCCTCGTGCTTCGTCCCATGGCTCTTGCCCCCTGAGGCGCGGTTAAGTTCCTCAGCACACCATGTCAATAAGATCTTCATGGATTCTGATGCATCGCATGCTTGTAGGAAGAGCTTGGCGTGTATGTTTGCAAGCCGGATCGCATGGTCTCTGGCGTTGGAAGGTGCCACAGGTGGCTTATCTTGCTCCTCCTGTTCCACTTCATAGTCCGGAAACAACGTAGGATCTTCCTCATCATTGTCTTCATCCAACCCTCGGTACGTGTACAAACTAGTGTCCATAGCCTCTTTCTCTTGGTCCGCTTGGAGCTTCGTCTTCCAGTCAACATACAGACTGGAGAAGAGGTCATGCAATAGATTTCTGGCCACTGAGCTGTCCATGAGCAAAGGGTCCACGTTCTGGAGGATTGAAAAGGTGTGCAGTGCGTGCCAGCGAATGTCGACGGCTGAGTACCCTTGGCCTAACGCGCTCTCGATTTCCTGCAAGTCATCTTCCGACCTCGTAAATACCCGGGAACGGCCGAAGAACGGCGTCTCTCGACTAATATACGCCAGGCTTCTGCTCACAGCGCTGGAGATCTTTTCTTCTTGCTCCGTTCTTCCAAGCACCAGGCCAATGGCCAAGCAGGTAAGAAAGCCTACCGCAGTATCTGTAATATCTTCGTACGCTCGATAACCCACCCTAAGTCTCTGAATTATACGGAAGACGTTCTGTTGCAATGTCATATCATTAATTGCGGCCTCAATCGACATAGACTCCTTCAGCAAAGGCTGAATAGTGCCGAGCAGATTGGTGAACTCTCCCTGAAGACTGTCAAGCTCGGAGACTTCGGGACGAACAATTTCTGGCACAGGTGGCTCGGCTCCCATTGTCTCGATTACGTCCTGAACCTGGCGGATCCGGAAACTTGTATTCTCACCGGTCAAGTCGAGCTGGAATAGCTGCAACACCGTGAGTGTTGCGAACAGGCTAGATTTTTCTTCGTTGAACATCCTACGCTCAATTGTAGGCCTCAGAGCAGGATCATGGGGGTAATTAGGGACATAAAGTTGCAGTCCTAACAAACCTAGTTGTATCCAAGCCGCCGCATCAATAGAGTCTGTGTCTGACATGTACATGTTTCCAAGTCCTTCGCTGAGTAGAGACTGTTGTGCTGGAGTGATTGGCGCATCCGATTGCGGTTCTTCAGTTGTATTGTTGACCACATTTGAATGTGTCTCGATAAGCTTGTCACGGATAGCGCAAAACAACCTGCCAAGAGCAGGTTCCTGGTCTTTTGTGATACGGCCTGCATCGGTTGCAAGATGTTGTGAGAGAACCTGCAGTTCAGTCTCGAATCGATCAAGCTGTAGAAGTTTTACTTCATCAGCCCCACACAACTTCCCTAGTATTGCGGTATGGAACTGGCGCTCCAAAACCAAAGCCTTAGCCGCTGGACGTGTGAGTCCAAGGTAGCGTGATAATTTCGCGAAGTGATCAACAGGACGCGTGGACCTTCCCACGGCAATTGTGGTGAGTTTTGTGGCTCTTCGAGCAAGTAAGGCGGATTTGGCGCGTGTCATGATAGTAGCGCTTGCTGGCGATGTGTAGAGCTGTTGTGCATCTTCACTGAAAGCGACATCGAGAAACTGGCAGAGACCCTCAAATTCTTCTTCGAAGTATGGTGTAATGACCACGTCGTCTTCACCGACACTCTGCTCTAGTTCCTGGACAGCACCCTCAAACCCGATAATCAGCTCTCGCGCGTTGGCGTCATCTTCGCGTACGAGAGTAAGGGCGCTGGCAATACGCTCACGGATCTGAACCAGCTCGTCAATCTTGAGCTTTGACTTCCAGATCACAGCGTCCAGTCTGTCAGCTAGTTCCTCAAGCTCAAGGATGGCCTTTAATTGTGTCTGAGTCTTCGGGGTCAAAGGCTTGAAAGCGCGCCAAATTCTTTCCATGCCCAGACCAGTCGTCAATTGAACATCTGAGCCAAACACTGCGACTTGCTTGGACAGCGACAAGCCTAAGATCTCCGGTAGCGGGGTCGATCCCTCGGTGATGCTGGGAATGGCGGATGTTAGCATTTTCAAGTATGTTTGAAACGTCGCTCGATCAAATGTTTTCGCAGTAGTGAGCGCAAAGAAAGCCCAGAATAGCTTCCTTAGGGGTTTGAGATAATTGGCTTCGAGTTGCTCGCCAGCACGATGAGAAGCCCAGAGACCCTCAACAACCTTGACTAGCGCTTGCCAATAAGCATGTAGAAAAGCTGGTAGCTTCTGTTTCTCTTTGCGACGCTCAAATCGGGCGGATGGTAAACTCTGGATCGCTTGTTGCATATTGTAAAGGTCCAACATGACATCGTACATGAATCCATACCACATGCCCAATGACTTCGTTGCAGTATTTCGGTGGAGGTAGCGCTCATTGACAAGCGGATGGTACACAACGAGGTCCTTTAGCAATTTGGAGTCGATCTCTTGGGCAGGGGACGGAATACTTGAGCCCCATACGCTCTCGAAGAAGCATCCCAGATGCGAAAATCGTTCTCTGAACGTGCTTGGCACTACCGCAGCGACAGCTACCTGTGTCATATCATGCCCATTGACACCATTGGACTCGAGTTGCGCAGATGAATTGATTAGGTCCTGGTTCACCTGCTTAGCGAAGCTTTCCAGCAGACCGTGGTCGGTATAGGCTAAATTCTCAAATTGTTGTTGTATCGTCATACTCGAATGCTCTTCATGTTCTTGGAATTGACGAAACCGATACATCGCTGATTCCAGTGGATACTCTAGGACCTTGCCTTGAAACTGCGACACATCATGTTCTGGCTGAAGTAGACAGACCTCTACAGCTCTGTTCCTCATGGCACGAGAGAGCTCTCCGAATCTAGGATCCATGGTCATGAAGATGCGGAAATCGGGGTGGGGCCGAATGATGCGTGCTTCGCCGTCGGCCGTAGCGTGTTCGTTGATGGAGAGATAGCCGTTGGGCTCCAGAAGCGAGTTCAGTCGATCGAGAACAGCACTGGAGCACAAATTGGCATTGTCAACAACAAGCCAGCTGCCTTGCTCAAGCGCACGAACGAGGATGCCGTCGACCCATTGAAAGCGTGCGCCATCAATCTGTTGATCGAAAGACTGTTGGAGATATCGGAACTCTTCCAATAGGCTGGCTGCCTCGAGGTCATGCGGCGCGATGCTGTGTAAACACAAGTCGATTTTGGAATGACTCAAGGGCGAGCCTGACTGAAGAAGCTCGAGTAGTTCGGTATATGCTGGCAACTGCTTTTCGATGCTTGCAATCTTGTTCCGAACCAAGTCTTCTAGCCTCTCCATACATCGGTGCATCTCTCGTGTCGGATCCACCTGCTCATAACCACCAACAAGGTCCATGGCATCTATATCCGCATTCATCGCAAATGTCACAAGATGTGCTCCGACGAAGCTTGCAAGCTGATTGATCATGCTTGTTTTGCCTGAGCCCGATTGCCCGACAATTATCACGGGCCAACTTTGCTTTACACTGATCAGGAGCGCTTCAATGGGTCCCAGTTGCCGGACTTGTAGAGCGGAGATGGCATCTGGACTCGTAGTGGTGGCTTTTCGCGGTAGCAGGCCAAGACCAACCTGCAAAGCGTTTCTACTGAGATTGTGAAAATGACTGATACGCGGCTCGTGAGCTCCATATTGGCTTTCAAAAAGCCGGTGAACCCGTGCGCGATCGGCCTCGGTACGAAATCTATGGACGAAGATGGTGTCAAGAAAGTCTCTTGCCGTACCAGGGAAGTCCTGCGAAGCCAAAAGTTGGAGCCAACGCAGTGTGTCACGTAAATTGAATTCCCAAGGTGCTCCTGAGTTACCAAAGGTACGCCGATTCACAACCTGGTCGTCCAGGTCCGCCACGAATCGAATCATTTTGGATACTTCGTCTTCTTCAATGGCAGGGAAGACCTTTTTGCAGATGAGAAACAAGTCATCTGAATGGAAGACATCCGCATACACGACTGTGAAGCGGTTTACAAATGATGCCGGTAAGCCTTTGCGTCCGCCACCTTGATGATGCGGGTTTTGGGCGGCAAAAACCCTAAAATCAGGATGTTTATGGAACGTTTGGTCAAGTTCGGAAACGTAAACCTCACCACGGTGGTCAAGAACGGCATTAAGACCCTCCAATACGGACTGTGAGGCCAAGTTCATCTCGTCGAGAAGCACCCAATCGCCATTCTTCATTGCTTTGAGGAACGGTGCATCGCGCCAGGCAAATGTGCCTGCTGCACCCCCTTCAACTGGCACGTCGGAACCAAACAAATCCATGAGATCTGTTTGCTCTGACAGATTGAGACGGGTCAAAGGTTTTCCGATGGCTTTTGCAAGTGCAGTCACCAGCGTTGTCTTACCAACGCCTGGGTTACCTTCCAGAAGGATTGGCTTCGCAAGTTGTAGGGCACGAACGACGCGCATTGCATTTGAGCGTGTTGTTGGTGCTTCGAGGGAAAAATTAAGCGTCTCAGACGCAGCAGACGAGAACTTGGGTATGGAAAACGATCCCAGTTGGAACACTGAATCTGTGTTGACAACGTCGACCTTGCTGAAATAAAGCGATGTTACGTCACGCCCTAGAAGCTTACTGAGTTGGTATAGACAAGCTTTCCGTTCGTCTTGAATGGACGTGGCGGATATAGCAAGCAGACCGGCTGGGTTCGCGCCTAGGGTATCGATAAAGACCATGGCCGCACCATGAACGACACCAAAGATCGGATCGCTGTGGGTTGACTTATTGATGAAGGAGACCCAAGCCAAAGTATCTCGAATGGAGACAGAAGATGACACCGAGGTATTGTACTTGTCGTTGAACCATTGTGAGAATGACACAATGGCCAAAGCGAATTGTATCAAGTCTGATCGGAGCTTTGAGCGTACGATTTGTAGTATGTCGTCGATGTCAGACATGGCGGGTACCCATATTTCAGTGAACCGGTTGCGAAGAGCTGGTGAAAGCTCCTTCTTACCATAGTCACCACCAGGATTCATGGTAGCAAGGAATTGGAATCCATCATTAGCAGTGATCTGGGAGTCGGTGGGCCCTTTTTCGGCCAGTAAGATGGACCGTGACGGTTCAAGAACACTATTCAAACGCTCAAGTACTGAGTCATCCGCCAGCGAGATCTCGTCAAGGAGAAAACAATGACCCGCCTTCATCGCATATACGAGGCTACCATCAACCCATTCGAATAACGCCGAGGCTTTGGACCTTTGGGTTTGAATAGCTGCAATATCAACATCAGATATCCTACCCCGTACTTCCAGATCAAGCTGGTCATATAAAGCCAGCAATTCATCAGTTCTAAGCCTGGCTATATCTCCATCCATGGTCTCTTGCTGCACGCCTTGTAAGACATGGAGAAGCCGCTCTCTTAGAAGATCCTCAATCGCTGCTCGATTTCGAATGGGTCGTTGTGCACCGATCAAGTCCCCGGTTTCTGTGTTTTGATGAGCATTGACGATATGCAGCTGGGTTTGGTGCTGGTCGGCCAGTAGCTGACAGACGGTAGTCTTTCCGCATCCCGTCTCTCCAATCAGGAGTACTGGTTCGTTGTTGCGTATAGCATGCGACACAAGGACGAACAGTCGTCGCATAGCATGCGTCCAGACCACCCCGTCATTAGCCTTCACTGCGAGAGCTTCATCGACGCTAAACATTCGCTCGACATCAATGGTCACTCTGGGTCCCTTTTCGCTCATGACTTTTTCGAGAATCTTCTTGACTGCCGTGCGTTCGTCTTCCTTGCGCACACGCTCCGCAAGAAGCATGTACCCGTTATTGGCAAGATCCTGGATCGTATCTGCTTTCCGCTGCGCCCATCTGAACAAATCTCGTAAAGTTGCGAAGCTCTTTTGCTCAAATATACGGTGCTCTTGTCGCAGTGTTGAGAGCTCGCGGTATACCTTGACGATGCGTTTACACCAGGTCTCGGGGATCATAGTGCGCCGGTGCAGAATCTCAGTAAGCTCTTCGACTGGTATGTCATCGAAGTGCAACTCTAGGAAACGGTTACGAAAGGCGCGAGACAAGACTTTGCGACCACCGTAGAGTCCCGCTGGATTTTGTGTGGCAAATAGCATGAAGTCGTCATGAGGTCGGACGACTTCTTGCGTCTCAGGAATCAGCAATTCTCGATTGTCATCGAGAAGGCGATTGAGAGCTTCTAGTACATCGGTTGGAGCCAAGTTCAACTCATCAAGTACGATCCAGTGACCTTCACGCAAGGCTCGGACAAGTATTCCTTCTTGAAACACAAGCTTTCCGTCTGCGCCTGATACATAGGAGCCAAGGTATTCCTGAAGATCGGTGTGCTCATGATTGTTGATACGAACGAATTTGTTCCCTGAACGTTTGGCTAAATATTCAATCATACTCGTCTTTCCGGAAGAAGTAGGCCCCTGAATGAGCACTGGATATTTGCGGGTAGAAGCTGCTCGGATAAGATTGTTCATATTACGCTGAACGAATGGAGTGACGATGTAGTGTGATTGCTCTTCGACAGCGTGTGCACCTTGACGGAGCCAGTAGTGGCCCTCTCTAACGTAGGAACGGTTATCCGATGGCTCTTGAAGCGGTTTTCCAAGCTCAGATTTCATTGTAGCTTTCTGGGGAAATAAATGTTTGATGATGAGTGGTGCAACAAGGTCTTCAGAAGCCTTGCCGAGAAAAGTCAGGAAACTCATGTGAAAACCTTCGTACAAGGCTCTTCGGAGACTGCAAAGGGGAGCAATATCCCTGGCGTAAGACAGGGTCCTTGTCAGTGTTCTCAAACTAAAGTGAGCTTTTTGATCGGCGCCATCAACAAGCATGTTCGCTTTCGCAAGCTGCTGAATCTCTAGATAGAGACTTGTGACATCACGCGCTGCTCTGACAACTGCGGGATCAAGTTTGTCACTACCGAGATATGCCTCCACGATGTTGCGTAAACTCTTCTCATCGCTGTCTGGGCTTTCGACGTACAGCTCAGTGAAACGTGATCGGATACCAGGTGGTAGATCTTTTTTGCCAACATCTGTGGCAGGGTTCATTGCAGCAAAGACTCTAAAGTTAGGATGAGCCACCACACGCTCAACATTACCGGTTTCAGTGAGGAGGATGGAAGGATTGCCATCTGGCCCACCGCCAAGAAGATCTGTGAGAGCTTCAAGTGTGTCTGATGATGCCAAATTGATCTCGTCAAGCAAAACCCAGTCACCATTTCTCACAGCTTTTACAATGTTGCCTTCTAAGAACGAGAAAGCGAATGCTTCGGAACCACTAGCAAGCTGCGCTTCGAGTTGCTGGAGATCGGTAGCGAATTTCTCCCATCGAGCTGTTGGGAAATTCGCCGGCAAGGCGCCTGTTTTGCGCTTCTTCTTGGGCTGCCCGCCATCAGGGTCGGGTGACGAAGTCCGCGACTCGTGCGACTTCCGTGCTGCGTCCACCATCTTCAGGGCCTCGTGCCATAATTTGCAGACGCGCTTCCACTCGCCCTTGGCAACACGCTTACCAAGCATGTCGATAAAGCGCAGGTTCTTCTTTCTTGAGAATGTCGTATCGAAGATTTCGTCGAATTCATCTTTGAGAGGAATGACAAGACTCCGCACATTGACAGGCTTGAAGCCACCGAGGAGATCGCCACTCTCGCTCTGTTGAGACAAGTTGAATGCGACCATTTTTCGACCAAGTTGCTCGGCTAGATACTGGATGCATGTTGTCTTTCCGGTCCCAGTCTCACCAACAAGCAGGAGCGGCTCTTGGCGATCCACAGCTACAGCTACCTTCTCAAGCAGACGTAACGTGTAGTCGTTGGTGGAGAATGGGCGTCCAGACCCCATCCGCTTCGTCGATTTGTGTTTGGCTAAGCGTGCTCGTCCAATCTGTATGGTCCCAGAGGCTGTAGTCGTTGACGGAATCGAAAGCTTGACTGTGCGGTTCTTGAGAAGGTGGTCTCTTCGTTGAGGATCGATGTGTAGCTCTTCAGCAACACATGACATGATCTTCTCCCGAGCAAGTGTGCTATGGAGACTGCCAGCGAAACAATCAAAAGCTTCCATGAACATATCATCCTTCTTCTCAGTACTAAAAGAAGCTGATTGAGCTAGTAGCACCGAAATCCTGTCACACCATTTCAACAAATCCCGGGGCGTCATCGCTCGGATTGATGTGCCATTTTCCGAAGAAAATTTGGCATCGGCATACAGCTTCACCAAACGTGAATATACCCGCATAATGTCAGCGACATGCTTTTGGAGTACAGGATATTTGACATGTATAATTTGCTGGAACTCTTCCAGCTGTGGCATATGTATAGTGATTGACTTCCAAAATCGATGTCCGATCATATTCTGGCGAGGCACTATCTCTTGTCCTCGTGGGTTAAGTGTGCTTCGCATCGTGGCAATGATACGAAACCCTCGTGCTGCGCGTACGGTCTCTCCTCGGCTAGGAATGAGCAATTCTCCTCGTTCGATCAGTGGTAGAAGTGTACTGATGACCTCGTTGGGTGCTCGATCCAGATCCTCAATGAAAATCCACCTGCCCTCTTTGACTGCCGTCGTAAGTACCCCAGCTCGCCAGCTGAATGTTCCGGGCTTCGCTCCTGTCGTGTACATGCCAATCAGCAATTTTGCATCACTCTGCTCGTTTAGGTGCAGAGTAATCATTTTGTCAAGTTTGTTAAGCTGCCAGGCGAACTGTCGCGTAAGCAACGTTTTGCCGGATCCTGCAAGGCCGGTAAGTAATAGCGGACCAGACCCCAGCAGGCCTTGGGCGACATTTTTGAGGTTCGTTTCTGTGGTAGCTGTGGCTACAAGCTTTGATGGCGTTTCTTGCGATGAAGCTCCGTCTAAACGGGGAAGTAGTATACCATGGACATTGACGGTATAGGGTGAAAGTTCGCGATATACAGATGTAGGGTACAATTGCTCTGTTTCGCACGGTATTTTTGCCAACTCCTTTTGCAAGTCTCTCCATCTCTTCTCTTCCCATAACGCAAGGAAGCGATAATCAATGGTACGCCCCTCCCATTGGCCTTCGCATTCTCCTTCTCCGACATGTCTTTTGATAAACGCTTGTGCGGCATCATCTGCCATGTGCACATAGACACAGTAAGTCCGTATAGCAAGATATCGCACAGGGCGACTTGAATGCTGAAAAAGACTCTCCAAAGCCACTGGTCGAACATGTCTGGCGAAGTTTCTGCAGTCATAGCTCAACAAGCGAAAAGCTCCCAGCAGGATTTCCAGTAAATCAGACTCTTTGGTCAGAGCCAGTCCATTCTCGGACGAGGGTGACGAATGCGATCCTACCAGGCATGAAGCTGATGAGTGTGCTAGGAAGCGTTCCACGTGCTCTGCAAGGTGAGGCGCAAGCGGTAGTAGCCGTCCAAAGGCCGCTATCTTGGCTTCGGTTTCCGCGCTAGATTGAATCCACCGCGCACACAATTCTGTGAAAAGGGCTCGATGCTGCAGGAAAACCGCGTCGGTGGTCGTGGGACTCAATGCTTCTGTGGCAAGGACACTGATATTGACCATTTTACCGGCCATGTTGATTGTGAATCACCTTTGAATTGGGCAAAGGTTGTAGAGGTCAAGGATGTCTTCGGGGCGCCTTCCCATAGTTTCGACGCTTCAAGTATTGTCGGTGTCAGAAGAAGTGGACGGAGGTTGTTGTGGCACGTGTATTCGATTGGAAATGTCGAAGTTTCTCACTGTCCCAACTTTTTTGCGGGTCCCTGGCCAGGCTAGCCAGCTTAGCATCCATTATGGCATGCCTGCGCCAAGCCTCGACTAGAGCCAATCCTGGCCAAAGCAGCAAATCAAGCAAGGCACCTCCGAACCCGTCGCCGCAAATTCTGGGACAGCAGCGACCTCACGCCTCGACGTTGGAAGCGAAAAAAGCCCGCGAATCCCCATCGATCCCACGCAAGGAAAGAAGAACAATGTCTGCACCAGTGTCGCGCGCTCTCGGGCGCTGTGTTTGCACGGTCAGGAATACTGCCCATGTACGGCCGTCGGTGGTGGGATCTGGAGCACAGCAGAGGATACAGCGGAGATGGGCGTCAGGCAAGGCGGCGAACCCCAAGATTGCGACCATTGTGGACCAGATTAGCCAATTGACCTTGTTGGAGACGGCAGACTTGGTGTCGACATTGAAGGTATGGAAGGAACTCCTCTTGCGTGGCGTCATCATGTGGGAGCATAATCGAGTACAAAACACACACACGCATGTACACGACGCATGACATGTATACAGCTTCAAACTCACCGCCATAGAGACTGACAAAAGATGCAGACACGTTTGAACATCCCCGATATGCCCATGGGCGGATTCGCTGCAGGCCCCGCCGGCGCCGCCCCCGCCGCCGCCCCAGTTGAGGAGGAGGAAGCCGCCCCCGCCGCCCAAGAGAAGACCATGTTCAACCTCAAACTCGAAAAGTTCGACGCCGCCGCCAAACCAAAGGTCATCAAGGAAATCAAGGCCATGTTGGGACTGAGTCTGGTGGACAGCAAGAAGTTTGTCGAGAGTGCACCGAAGATGATGAAGGAGGGTGTGGCCAAAGAAGAGGCGGAGAAGATTGTCGAGACACTCAAGGCGTTGGGTGCGACGGTTGTCATGGAATGAGTGTAGGAACATGTGGGAAGGGCGGCATGAGGGCTGTGGATTGCGGCATGAGGGCTGTGGATTGCGAGGAAAGGAGGACCAAGAGACGGCTTCTTTACTACTTACTGTATCATAGCATGGCATGTGGCGTGGACAGATGGAGTTGGCAACATGTGGAATTCAGAGGATTCGATATGTCTAACAACACACGTAACAATACAATGCATGGGGTGTATAACAAACCCGTGGTATCTCCTCCACCCAAACGCCTCGCAATGCAATCATGACCAAAAAAATAACATGGCATCGACTGACCCTGCAAACCAAGAGTCAAGACAGCCCGCACCACTCATCCAAAAGCAACAGCCTGCCTCCTCTCCTCCCGATCCTCCCTCCCCATCACAACATCATCCTCTCCAACCTCACTCGCCTCCTCCCACAACCTCTCCATCTCCTCCTCCTTCTCCCCCGGAACCGCCCAGATACTCTCCCTCAACCTCTTATGGCGTTCCCTATCCTCCTCAATCCGGTGCTCAATCTGTCTCTTGTCCATCTTCACACCCCCATTCTTCCCTCCACTCTTCCCCCCATCCCCATCCCCCTCCAGGAACGGATGCGTCCCCTCCCTACTCTTCAACACACCCTCCAACTCCCCCACCGTCTCGGGTAACAAGATCTTCAGCCCCTCCAACGTCTTCAACACCTTCCTCACCACCCTCACATTCGCCCCTTCCTCCCCTACCACACACTCCACCACAGCCAGAATGTCGCGCTGCAGCATGCGCACATATCCCATGGCGCTGGGATCTCCGGCATTGTTGTCGCGCACGCTCATTTCGCACAGCGATTCAATGAAGAACATGATGTTTGCGCGCGTGTTCATGTTGGTGCGCTCGAGTTGCTCGAGGATGCACGAGTGCAGGTCTTCATCCAGTTCTCGGTTCTTAAGCGCGTAGAGGGCGGCCTTTTGGAGCGAGGTGTGTGAGGCGCTGAGGTGGGCGAGGAGCGTGGTGAAGCGCTGGCGTACTTCGAAGGGGTCGGCCATTATGGTGGTGGTGGTTGTCAGGGATGTGTGTCGGATGTCGTATACCGGTAGGGCGTAGACGACTTATGCTAAAGAGGCGGATGGCATAGGTGGACACTACTGTATGCACGCTATGGCTTGGAATCTTGTGGTCTTGTTACGCGATAGCTTCGCTTTTTGGGCATGCGTGGAGCTTGGTCGTGGTGGTCGCAGCCGCCAGCGCATATCGTCGGCCATGGTCTGTGCCTAAACCAAGTACGGTACCATAGGTATTACTTCACCCCACCTTAGTCGCTCCGCGTTCAAAAGTTGGAGGGAAAGTCACAACTGCCCTACACCACCACTACCACCACTACCCAAAACGGCCCAGATTAAGAAATACAACAACATGGCAGACAAACACGAGTCCAAGGGTCTTACATTGACCGTCCTAGGCGCAGGTATGTTTCCCAATTCATCCCCTCCGCCCGTACCACACGCGCAACATCAAGTACTGACCACAATCACCCCCAGGAACAATGGGCATAGCCATCATGGGCGGCGTCATGTCCTCGCTCGCCTCTGCCAAAACCGCCGCCGTCGTCTCCCCCTCCTCCACTAAGAAACCCACACCCAACCTCTCCAACTTCATCGCCTGCGACCAATGGGCGCCCGCCGAAGAAAACGTCCGCAAAGCCCTGGGCCACTACGCCTTCCCGCTGCAAACCCTCACAAACCAGAACCTCAAGGGCGTCCAAGAAGCCGACATCATCCTGCTGTCGTGTAAACCCCACGGCTACAAGCAGATTCTCGGCGAGCAGGGCATGCTCGATGCGCTCAAGGGCAAAGTCCTCGTCAGTATCCTCGCGGGTGTGACGCAGCAGCAGCTCGAGACCTTCTTGTACCCAGAGGGCGCGCACAAGGTCGAGGGCGCATGCCGAGTGGTGCGCGTCATGCCCAATACGGCGAGTTTCGTGGGTGAAAGCATGAGCGTGATTCAGATTTCAGATCCGCCGCTGTCGGAGCAGCAGGCTGAGCTCGTCAACTTTGTCTTTGGCAGCATTGGCCGTGTGGTGTCGCTGCCGCCAGCGAATATGGATGTGAGTACGGCGCTGTGCGGCAGTGGTCCTGCCTTCTTTGCCCTGATGCTGGAGGCAGCGACGGATGGCGCTGTGGCTATGGGGCTTCCGAGGGCTGAGGCGCAGATGATGGCTGCACAGACGATGAGGGGGACCACGGGGTTGGTGTTGAATGGAGAGCATCCTGCCGTGTTGAAGGACAAGGTTTCGACACCTGGTGGCTGCACGATTGGTGGGTTGATGAGTCTGGAAGAGGATGGGGTGAGGGGTGCGGTCGCGAAGGCGATTAGAGAGGCTACGGTCGTGGCGTCGAGGTTGGGCGGGGAGACGAGAGTGTTTGTGAATCATAGACGGTAAATCGTCTGGTAGGTGTCGATGGGATGAATGTAGAATATGAAAAAAAATCATGGGATGACAAGAACACGATACCCTATGAATATCAAGATACTGTTAATACCTAGCGGTCGGACTTTAGATGGTGATTGTTAGTCTATTAAGCCTATGCCTAAAAATGAGACATAGCGGCGCGGTCAGCGCATATCTCTACTCCAAGGGTATATCGCAACAAGTAGAGAAGCAGTCACGCATCCATGGCTGTATCCGCATTATCCTCACCCCACACCCGTTTCTCGCACCTCCCCTCCCCAACTCTGACTCTCCCCCTAATCCGCTTCCCACACCAGAAATCACCGTCTCTCCCTCTCTCGTTGCACCATCTCCCTCTCCACATCCCCTTCGGTCCTCACTCCCCCCCGTCTCTTCGCATTCTTCCTCAACCCCGCCGTGAACAGATTGGCAATGTTATCATCGCCCGTGGTGCCACTCTTGCGTCTCTTGTCCCGATGGCCCGCCGGCCCCGTAGGCGCCTTGATCTCGGCTTTGGGACCTTTCGGCGCAACAGGTGCGTGCGAGTCATATCTATCTTCCGCCTCCTCACGGGAGCGCTTGGAAGACGAGGAGGGTCGGGAAGAAATGCGTGAGTGAAGCGACTTATCATTCGAAGGCTCCCGTGGTGATCTTTCAAGCCGTTCGCGAGCATGGCGTTCACGTTCAGCGGCATAGTGGTCTTGAGGTGTCGAGGGTGCAATGGGAGTTGCATGGCCAGAGCTCACGCTGCTCTTTCGGCGATGATCTCTCGAATCGCTGCGGTCTTTGTTGCGATCTGCCGCCGGGCCCTTGGGTGGCTGGAATGCTCGTGGGCCGGCCGGGGGTTGAGGGGGTGGCATGACAGTGGTTTTTGAACGACCTTTGATGCTGAAGCCATTGGAAGAGGGGCCAGTTGGTGCATTCAGAGGCGGCGAGGCAGCACGCTTCTTCATCATCTGGCCTACCACGTCTTCTTCGTTTTGAATGCGTGGCATCTTCTCTCTTGGCTCCTGCTCATACTGATCGCGGCCCCTGGCCAATTCGCGGTCGCGGTCCTTGCGGCTTCGAGAGGAACGATGTTTGTCTTCATCATTGTCGCGCTCATCTTCTTCTGCCTCGCGATCACGGCGACGCCTACGGTCTTTGTCCTTTTCACGCGAGCGATCCTTTTCCCTCTCATAGTCGTGGTCTCTCTCGCGGTCTTTGCGATCCTTTCGATCTCTCTTACGATCCTTGTCGCGTGATCGTTCTCTTTCGCGGTACTTGTCTTTATCGCTGCTTCGAGGTTTGCGACGAGAGCCGCCATCGGAATCTCTGTCCAGATCGGTACGGCCATCTGTGTCCTCGTACCGCTCCTGTGAGCGATGACGCCGACGATGTTCCTTGCTGCGGTCGCGGTGTGAGCGTGAAGAGCGGTATTTGTCCTTGTCACCACGGCTACTTCGGTGCTTTGATTCGACAGACACGTCTCGGGTGTGATCCCCTCGACTCTCCCGATCGCTACGGTGCCTATCTTCGTTGTCATCATCGCGCTCGTCGTGACGCAATGATCGCTGGTGCCTTCGCTCCCTGCGGTGATCAAAGTCATGATCGTCCTTGGGAGTCGGTGAGCGCCCTCGATCATCCTGTAGTGACGCACGATCTGCTGAATGCGAGCGCCCCCGGTATTCATCCACAGGCTCATCACGTGGTGGTGATTTTGATCGAGATCTTGATCGTGTAGGTGACCTTTGCTTGACACGGAGGGCCTCGTCTCGCAATGGAGATCGACTGCAGAAAATATTAGACATGGACGGTCATGATACAGCAATAGTAGTACATACGATCGCACCCTGCGGTGTGGGCTGCCTTCTGGAGCAGGCTCATGTGCGGAAGCAACACTTCTGGGAGCAGCAGGTGGGAAACGAGTGCTATTCGCCCGACTTGAGAATCCAGTGTTTGGCCGACCTTCACGCATTGCTCGCGGACCAGTTGGCGCTCCAGCGACTCCCACGCCAACAGGTTCGGGAGCCTGACCAACAAGGACCCGAGCAGCACCATAAGCTCCGCTGTTGAAGCCACCACGAGGACCAAAGTTATTCTGTTGATTATATCCCATATTCATGTTCATACTGGGATCAAAAGAAGCGTCCATCTGCTGGTGTGGAATCTGATTCATCATAGCCTGCTGGAAGGCCATTTCTGGATGCATTGCATTGCTCATGATCGACTGATCAAAGTTTTGCATGTCCGCATCACCAGATTCAAATGCCTGGATAGGATTGAGTCCATTTGCCTGAGCTTCCCCGTTTGCATCATCCTCTACATTAGTATCAACGGCATGATTCTTGCTGCTGTCACCAGATGCTTCGGCATTTCCAGCCTGTGGACCAGTCGGGTCCCCATCGACAACCGTCTTACCTTGTTCAGGATCCTCGGCAGGTGCTTTCGCTTCCTCGCCATCAGCATCAGCCTCAGGGGCAGCATTAGCTGACCCGCCAGGCGACTGGCCGTCACGCTGTTGGGAAAGAGAGTCGTCAGTTGCTGAATAGATAGAGACGTCCACCGACAGACTCGTCTTGGGTGGAGAAGTGAGTTGAAATCGACGTACGTTCTGAACGGGGCCACTTCGGCTTTCAGGACGGCTATTTGCGTTCTGAAACGCAGGTCCAAAGTTTCCACGACTGCCATTCCTATCTCGTTGAGGATTTTGGCCCCCTTGATTGGCATGGAAACGATTCTGGTTCTGGTTTGAGAAATTATTCTTGGGGAACTGGTTCATCATGTCGGGATAAGCTCCAGATTGATTATAGCCACCCATCTGGTTGGTTCCGTTGAAGTTTCCATAACCACCGCCCATGCCATTCCATCCATTGCCATAGCCGCCACCATAGTTCATCATGTTCATGGCCGACATGTCGTTCATGCCCATGCCCATGCCCATATTCCCACCAAAATTGCCGTACATATGATTTGATGGCATGCCATTCATGTTATTGAAGTCTGGCTCAAGTTAGCTTCTTGTTCCGGCCATATTCGCGAAGAATCTAGAGCTCATGGGTCGTACCATTCCAGTTGCCATTGGCCATCATGTTCGGCATACCATTCCAGCCCATGCTATTGTTGAATCCACCCTGGTTGGGATATCCATAACCCATCTGGTTCTGCATCCCATGCATCATGTTGAGATTGTTTGTGGAGCCATCACTTGGCCCATCAACGACGCTCTGCTCCTCGTTTGGACCATTCGCCGCTGGACGTTCATCGCCCTGGGTCATGGTTTGAGGCATGGTGCTGTCGCGCTGCTCAAGCGTGTTTTCTGGGGAATCCATGTTCTGTCCTTATGTAAGCAAATGTATGAGGTGATGATGCGACACTTTCAAATCACCAGCAAAGACGATGATCATTTTGTTCAGAGCTCTAGGCCATGCATGGTTGTCATCTGCTCCTAGAGATTGCAGCAAAGGACAATGGGTATATTCTGAGCGTTCAAGGAGAAGAAATGGTCGAAAACCTACTTCCATGAGTTGGGCCGAGGCAGCGCTTGCGCGCTCTTCAGTAATAGCTGCATCCTCTGCAGGGCCAGATAATCCTTGAACAGAGGTGCTTCCCGCTGTCGGTGCTTCCTCCACACTCTCCACAGGCTTCTCGGATACCTCGCCCACGGGCTGTACCTCTAGACCTGCTGCAGTCGCTTCTACGGGCGGGGTAGCGACCTGTGCAGCGACCTTGGCCTCTTCCTTCTTCTTCTGTTTTTGTAGCCAGACTCGCATCGTGTTGCGCAAGGCCTTGTTCGGAGTGCACGAGTCGGCCTCGAGCGGAGAGTGGTCGCACGATGGACAAGTAGTGGGAAAAGAAAGTGTGGTCTGGCCTAAAGGCATTCATTAGCACGTCATGTCCAGTTGGTTTGTTGATGCGGTCGTGAGATCTTACATGATGAACAGATGGCCTTGTTACAGCATAGGAGCTTATACGAGTCAATCGCAAGCTGGTTGCAAAGTGAACAGAACAGATTTTTGGGGAAGGCAGGCGTTGGGAGCGAACTGCATTGATTAGAAAGTGTGGGAAAAAAAAACCCCCGATATAGTGCCTAGGTGGATCGTCACTCACAGGGCAAGCTCCTTCAAGTCCTCAGCAAGCGGCGCCGCCTTGGGATCTAGGGTAGATGTGGCCATGTTTGGTGGTGCTCTTGCAGATGCAGGCGCGAGATCGAAAGAGGCTTCCGCAAGAGAGAGAGAAGTGAGAGAGTAGAGTCCAACCTCCAGATGAAGCTCGGTCCATTTACCGTGCTAGCTGCTAGAACCACTGCGCACTAGCATGCAGGTTGCAAGAACAAGCAGATGGCGACTTTCGATGGGAGGGTGGGCGCCGAGCGGGCGATTAGGAGCGCGTCTATTTGGTTGTAGAGAGGAGAGAAGAGAGAGAAAGAGGGGAGGTGAAGGGAAAGGGGTAAAGGGGAGAGTAGAGAAGAGAGAGAGAGAGAGAGAGAGAGAGAGAGAGAGAGAGAGAGGTGTGTGGTCCTGTTTGCGCAAGTCCAGGCTGCCAGGCAGGTGCCGGAGTCGCGACTGCCAGAAAACTTCCGCGGCGTGATTGGGCCCGTGCGTTACGATTGCCGCCTTGCAGGGCTGTCCAGAGCTACAGCGCACACAAGGTTCTGGTTCTGCTCTCACGGAGATGCGGTGACACAGTCCAGGGGGTTCCTCGTCCCATCCATCAATGGTGACAGTTGCCGGTACCTTACAGGCTTGCTGGTCACGTGAGCGGGACTCTCACTCGCCATGCTTGATGAATCTACCTACTTGCATCCATTTCTCTTAGAGTAGAGTACCGGTACTTGACACTTCCAAGGCCAACATTGCATGTGCACTTACCCCCAAATCACATGAACGCCATTCTCCACACATTGCAAACCACCATAGGTTCCTACAGTACATAGGTACATAGGCTCCAGGCTATGCTTCGGGACCCGAACGAGGCCTCACTGTGCGCCACGTAGGCCATTACGGTCTAGCTAAAACTGCTCTCGTCGTCATCGCTGATTGCCGTCTCAAACGCTACCATACCAATCAGTCTGCTCACAAAGCAATATCACATTGAAAACACTCTCTGTCACACACACACACACACACACACATATACGCATCCTTGTCGCCATGATCCTGAGCCAGATATCCTACCTAGACTGCATCGCCTTCCTCGTCTTCCTCGCCCCTCAACTCCTCCTCCAAATCGGTCCCATTGCACTTTTACAATGGCTAATCCCAGCCCTACCATCCATAGGTTAGCTTCCCTTCCCACCTTCCCCACTGCCCTCGAAAACACCAGATCATACTGATACTCACTCGTAGTCTTCACAGTCATTGCCATACCCTACCAATTCATCCGCAGCCGCTACTTCACAAAGTATGAAAACCGCGCCCCTTTTATGCAAAAAGCAACACCATTCCAAGATCTGGTGATTCGCTTTGTACGCTTCGCTTTTGCCAACATGCCTGCCTTTCTCGGCCGCGTCTTCTTTTCCAAGCCCGTTTCCTTGCCCTTTTTGCGCTTTAGAATGGCCAGACATGGCATCTTTACCGCGCCCATTCGCTGGACCGAGATCAAAAGGCAGAAGTTCAAGGGCCTGTGGGTTGTGCACAATCAGCAGGAGCAACCCGATGTCATTGTCTACTATTGCCATGGCGGAGGCTTCTCCATGGGAAGTAGTTTCTTCTACCTGGAGTTCTTACTGGCCTGGGTGGCCTTGCTGAAGAGTGCCGGGTACAGGAATCCAGCGCTCTTTGCACTCGAGTATACCTTGGTGCCGGATGCAACGTACCCGACGCAACTTCGCGAGACCGTAGCCGGGTACGAGTATGTTCTTTCGCTTGCGCCGTCGCCGGCCAAGGTGATTGTGGGTGGGGATTCGGCGGGTGCGACGCTAATATTAAGCTTCTTACTACACATTGCAGACCATAGTACGCTGAGGCATCAAAAGCCAGGGCTTGCCGTCATGATCAGTCCGTGGGTGACGATTGTCTCGCCAAACAACTCCAACACGGCGTCCGACTACCTCGACAAGGACTCCCTCGAGCGCTATGGTCGCCAGTACATTGGCTTAGGGACTCGGAATGATGATGCCTATGTATCCCCAGGACTCTGCAAAGAGGCCAAAAGGTGGCGTGAAGCAAGCCCCGAGAGAGGCTGGTACTTCCTCTATGGCGGCGAAGAAGTCCTGGGACCCGAAATTCGAAGTCTGGTTGGCTTGCTGAACAAGACGGGTGCGGCCGTGGAGCAGTGGGAGGACAAGGGTGGTATTCACGCATGGCCTGTTGCGAGTCTGTATCTTGGTGAAACGAGAGAGGAGCGACTTGGTGGCTTAAAAAGGATCGTGGAAGTTATATGTGATCGTATATAATGAAGACGCAAAATATATTCATTATTCACATCATGACCTATTTCTGATTATATACACCTACACATGAACACTAACACGTGCACTTCTACATCATCCCAGAAGCTCTGTTCTCGTATTCCACTTCGAGTATCTATCCACTCTACTGACGAGGGGTTGAACCTCCGCTCTGACAACCTCAGCAGCCTTATCATAATCATACAGCCTTCTTTCAAGCATATGCCGAAAACTGTACGCCCTTGCCATGCAAACTCCCATCCCAGTATCCTGAACGCCACGCTAAAAAAAATCTCAGCTTCCATTCACCAAGCTGTAATGTCGTCCACCTCTGCTTCGCCAAATGTACTGGTCTTGGCAACCTTCATGCCCGAACCTGATGAGGATGTGAGGGATTGCGAGTTTGGGGCGCCATTCATGATTTCGGGTAAGACGGTCCTCATGAATCCTAACAAGTGTTTGTTGACTTGTTCGAACTCGAGTAGGAACGCATCATGGCCATCGGGGGAATCGATTGTCTTCAAGGAAGCATTTGGAATGTGTGCAGCGAGCTCCTGTTGCTCCGCAAATGTAAAAAGCCCGTCAGACTGTATGCCCAGAACGAGAGTGGGCTGCTCGATTAAAGACAAGGCGTGGTGTAGAGCCGATACTGGATCTAGGGTTTCAGGAGATTCGCCCTCAGGATAGCGATGACGCGAGACATCATGTGTATCTAGCTTCCTTGTAATGGCAATGTAGCAATTGGCATCGAAACGCTTGATGAACTTCTCTGCTTGGTAACGAAGGTATGACTGGGCGGAGAAGAAGTGTGGCGCGCTAGGCTTCGTAAGACGACGACTCTGATTGGCCCCATTCGACGGCGGAGTGGTAGGAGACGAAGCATCATGAAATTCGAGGTCTGTCTGTGTTGCTGCCGAGGTAGGTAACGTTGTGCTGCTATTGCTTCTCGAGACGAGTCGTGGCGATCCCGCATTTCGATGGCCGTGATTGTGGATAGCAAAGTGTTCATGCGAAAGGTTCACTGGTGTTGCTGGTCGTGGCACGGTATTGATGCTTTGCTTCTTGGAAAGGTCAGGCGTATTGCGGCCAAAGCGAGATTCGAAGGAGTCGCGACTTCGGTAGGTCAGGAGGGCAGACATGCGCGCGGCTCCCAACCCAGTTGCTGGAGGGTCCTCGTAGGTATAGTAACCATCATCGTACTTTGGATCACTGTAGATGCTCTGTCGTTGCGCTTCACCCCAGCTGATCCCCCACGCGCTATAGCGAGCTGACGTGGCAATGGGGATAATCGACCTGACGTAGTCTTTACCAAAGTATGCGAACTCGAGCACAAGCATGCCACCCATGGAGCCTCCAATGACGGCAGCAATCTGCTTCACACCAAGGTCGTCGAGAAGGAGCTTGAAGATGCTGCACCAATCAGCATAGTCTAAATACAGTTGTTTGCTGCAGAGGAACCTACTTCACATCGTCCCGCACCGTTGTCAGCGGGAACTCGGGTCCATATGGTCCCAGTGAGACATCACCCTCTTTGGCTGTTACTGGACTTGCGCTGCCGTATGGACTCCCGAGACTGTTCATGCAGATGACAAAGAAGCGCGATGTGTCGAAAGCTTTCCCGGATCCGCCCAAGAGTGGTCCCCACCAGTCACCCACATCAGCGCTTCCAGTGAGCGCATGACAGATGACCATGGCATTGTCACCCGTTGGTGCCAGTGTGCCGTAGGTTTTGTAGGCCACACTGACATTACGCAATTCGACACCGGATTCGAGTGTAACGTGTGGTATGATTGCGAAAGTTTGATCGGGAACCATCTCGGCGTAAGGATTCTCGGGCTGCGACGAAAGCCTCTCTATGTAGCCATTAGATTAGCCACCATATCCTTGGAAATGTTGGTGTTGCGTGTTTGCTGCATGCCGAAAGGTCGGCGACAACTGTTCTCTGCCCATCCGTCGGCACAATCTGTTTACATTGTTTGTATGTGCCGCAAAGGATGAGACGCAAGTAACGACCACAAGTAACCGCCCGCGCAACCTGAAAGCAATGGAAGCCCTGGCACGACTGACTTACTATACTTGGACGCGCCATTGGCGCAGCCATTCCCCGCGGATTTCGTCATGACGGTCGATTCCAGATATGTGTGAGGAAAAAGGCTTCGTGCCTGCACGGCCGGTGAACAAGGCGTTTTCTCCGCATTGCGGGGAGCGAGCCTTTTTTTTTTTCTTTTGGGAGTTGATTCACTCCAGACACGGCCGCTAGTGTTTGTTAAACATCTTGGCGCGATGACGTGCTTCGACCGACCTCGGAACCGCGTGGCCTGCATTGGCCTGCATCTCGACTTTGCTTGGCCATGTACTACTACGATTACAGCAACCATGGCCAACGATCGAGTGCGTTTGCTCCACAAAGAGTGCCACCAGAACACACGAGACACCGTGCTAGGCCATGGACTCTTCTGGTTGCATGAAAAGATGCACCTGAGCGTGCTCGTTTTCATATCCTACGTTAGGTACTTTGTATCTCGATGCTAGGTACAACGCGTCGCACGTCTTTCTAACAACACCTACAGTGTGCAACGCATTGCGCATGGCTGGACCACCCATCCAATCTGACATTCCATCGTCTACGTGGACAAACGTTATGGCTGTGGCTGCTTGTGCGATGCACCACGTGAAATTGGGATTGTGTTTCCGGTTGCCCAGATGGAAACTGGAGGCCCAAGGCTGACCACGAAACCGTGAAGTTTGTGTAGGCATGTACGGTACCTAGTCTGCGCCCAACTGAAAGATGGTATAAGTTCGGTATTCCCTCAGGTGATGTGCGGTTTCAATCATCCTCAGCACGTCGAGCATGGCCAGATCAAATGTCGTCCAATCCTCTCATCGCAATCCTGTCCATGATTCAAAGAAACTGTTCTACACGCAAACACAACGAGCACTGTCAGAAAAGTCCGCATGCGCCTTTCCACCGAGTCTTGACATCACATGGCTAAAGATGTCTGGCAGACCCCGGGTGTGGCGCAAGACTTGCATGCAACGTATGCGGGACCGGGAGCCCCAACCCTATCTCAAGCCTGACGATCTGGAAGCGCCGCGAATGAGTAGTGATCGGGGAAATCCCGTTCACTCTAGCGACCCTAGTCCGAAACGGAAGTTGTGTGCTTTCATCAAAGACGAAGAGTTGGAGTCGATGCGAGAAGTACGGGCAGATACGCTACACAGCAGTGAACTCCCGGATGATGTAGATACTTTGAGCCCAGTAGTATTGGATGAATTGATGACGGATGCACAGACTCTTGAGCCCGCTTGGGCTGGGAACTACGCGAGAACCAAGACCGGCATGTGGATGGGGAAAGGTCTATTTCAACGGCAGTACCGGCAAGGTTGAGGCGGCTACAAACGAGAAGTCCCCATCTTAAACTTGATAGTGAATTGCAAACTTTATGCATCATAGAATGCCGAAAATCCATATCCGTCTCTGCAACCTTCATCATTGCGTAGTTTTGAATGCAAGACCAAGTAATGTGCACGGGCCACGGAGAAGTCCACCTGTGGCTGCTGTCTCCTACCATACGGTTCATTTTCAACTCCAACCAATATCATTCCTCGCCAACAAACATGCAATGCGAAGAGTCGTGGTTACGGGCTTGGGCCTTGTAAGCCCTCTAGGATTAGGTGCTACCAATTTATCCCGAGTGCAAATCCTTCTGAACTCACTTCCCGCAGGTGTGCGACGGACATGGAGCCGCCTAATCAATGGGGAGTGTGGCGTAGTTTCCATCAAAGATCGAAGCCCAGAACTTGCACTGCTACCAAGCCAAGTGGCCGCTTTGGTTCCCGAAGGCAGTAGAGATGATGGTAAATGGAATGTGAAAGATCACATCACTCCCGTCGTAAGCTTTCCCAAGCTATGTCGAGAAAATTCACTCATTTTGGCCAAGGATGAACGTCGAATGGCACGATTTGCACAGTATGCCATGGTGGCCTCTGAGGAAGCTTTAAAAGATGCAGGCTGGTCACCGACAAAAGAAGAGGACCTTGAAGCCACAGTACGTCGGATACATGATCAGTCTAAGCAAAGCCCGCTCACATCAACAGGGTGTGTACATGGGCTCAGGCATCGGCAGCTTGGACGATGTTTACAACACGACGGTCGCGTATGAGAAAGGAGTTAGTATGGCGAATTTCACCCTCTTTCTACCCTGACATTTGGCAGGGCTACCGAAAGGTGTCACCGCTGTTCGTGCCTCGATTGTTGATCAACCTTGCTGCAGGTCACGTATCGATGCGATACGGCTTCCGGGTACGCTCCAAACATTCTGTGAGCTGGATACCGGCATGATGACTAATCTCTACAGGGACCTAATCATGCAGCTACTACAGCGTGTACAACGGGAGCACACAGTATCGGCGATGCAGCCAGGTTCATTCAATTTGGAGATGCTGATGTAATGATTGCAGGCGGGGCAGAGTCGTGCATACATCCACTTGCAATCTCTGGTTTTGCAAGAGCACGAAGCCTGGCGACCGAGTACAACGATCGGCCTTCAGAGTCAAGCCGACCATTCGATCGGGACAGGGGAGGGTTCGTCATTGGTGAAGGAGCTGGCGTGGTCGTTCTAGAGGTATGTCACGTCTGTTCCCTGGTTCTCTTTTTGGAGACTAATCGACGTAGGAACTGGAGCACGCCAAGGCACGAGGTGCCCAAATATATGCTGAAGTCGCTGGTTATGGCCTCTCCAGCGATGCTCATCATATGACAGCCCCTCGTGAAGACGGCCAAGGTCCCCGACTTGCTATGAGAAACGCGCTCAGACATGCCAGTCTCAGACCATGTACTGTCGACTACATAAATGCGCACGCTACCAGTACGCCTCTCGGCGATGCTGCGGAGAATAGAGCTATCAAAGAGCTCTTGCTAGGCGAACATGGCAAGCAGAAAGCTTCTGAGATCAGCATGAGCAGCACCAAAGGTGCAATTGGTCACCTTCTAGGTGCAGCTGGTAGTGTGGAAGCCATTTTCACAGTGCTTGCTTTGCATCACGTAAGGAGCCACTATTAAGATGCAACCAAAAGAGGTGCTAAAGACCTCTAGAACACACTGCCGCCCACGCTGAATCTCCGAAATCCAGGAGATCCAGCAGCCGACTTTGACTGCAACTACATTGCCCATGAAGCCCAGAGAAAAGAGGTCAATGTGGCAATGTCGAATAGTTTCGGGTTTGGAGGCACGAATGCATCGCTATGTTTCCGCAAAATCTAAGACGCTCGGTCGGCAAGAACAGAACTTGCCGACAAACATATATACGCATGGCACAAGAAGCAGTCTTCCGCGGTTCTCAACCGTCATGAAAACAAGATTAGGTTCAGAAGCGTTAGCGTTGCCCTGGTGAATTGCCTCAAGCTACCCCGCCAGACTACGGTCAAACCTCATGATAAGAAGAAGCAAGCCCCGCCGAGCGTCTTACTGTGCCCGCACAGGATCTGCCCATGGACGATCGTCACATGGGCCAATGCTTCGTTTCGCTCTTTATTTATCTGGATCTCCTCAACCGTACTTAGTATTTTCCACATGGTTTCCAATCAAGTGGGTAGTGCCATGGCTACTTCGCAACGATCCGTCTTCCGCAATGCCTCAATCAAGGCATCCCTTTACCATTCGCGCGTGCCCTACCTCAACAAACTTCCCTTTCCGGTCATTGCCATCATTGTGGCACTCGTCGTAGTCAATCTCTGTGTTTGGGCGGCCGTTGGGATTGTGCTGGTGAGTCTGTCATCTAACGTTGAGAATCTTGTGACAAGGCAATGATTAACAAACGCATAGCACTGGCATACATCACTGATTTCCACTGCAATTCTATCGTACACCTTGGGACTCCGTCATGCGTTGGATGCAGACCACATCTCGGCCATCGATCTGATGACGCGCCGCCTCATCGCCGCTGGCCAACGACCAGTAACGGTAGGGACGTTCTTCAGCCTCGGCCACTCCACCATTGTCATCATCACTTCCATTGCCGTCGCAGGCACGGCAGCCGCTGTATCTGACCGCTTCGACAATTTCGAAAGAGTAGGCGGCATCATTGGGACTTCTGTCTCCGCCGCCTTCCTTCTCCTCCTCGGCATCATGAACATGTACATACTGTACAAACTCATCCTCCAAATGCGAGCCATCACCGCCAGCGAGCCCGGAGACGAAAGCACCCATTTCACCATCCAAGGCGGGGGCTGCCTCTTCCCCATCCTCCAAAAGCTCTTCAAACTCATCGACCGGCCCTGGAAAATGTACCCGTTGGGCGTCCTGTTTGGCCTCGGCTTCGACACGTCGTCTGAAATTGCGATTCTGGGCATCAGCTCGATACAGGCGACAAAGGGAACCTCCATTTGGCTGATTCTCATCTTCCCGCTCCTGTTTACCGCGGGCATGTGCTTGCTCGATACCATTGATGGCGCACTCATGATGACGCTGTACAGCAGCTCGCAACTGGCGCGCGACCCCATTGCCATTTGCTACTACAACATTGTACTCACCGTCATCACGGTCCTCGTCGCGACCGTCATCGGAACCGTGCAGTTTCTCAACCTAGTCTTGAATGTCGCCGAACCGCACGGCGGGTTCTGGGACGGCGTGGAGCGGCTGGGTGAGAAGTGGGATATCGTAGGTGGCGCCATTTGTGGGGCTTTTGTCGTCTTTGGCGGACTCAGTGTGCTCTTGTATAAGCCGTGGAGACGGCGTGTCGACAGTAAGAGGGCGCGAAACGCGCATTTTGAGCCCCTGGCGCAAGATCAGGTCGCTGGGGAGCCCGGGGAAGGGGAAGTTGGTGATGCTGCGGTGATGGGTGAGAGTGACAAGAAGGATGTGGGTGTTGGTGTTGCTGCAGTTGAGGGGAGAGATCTTGCGGGGCCTTCATATCGGTGAGGGGCCTTGAGATTAGCTGCCGAGGGAGGAGAGTGGAGAATGTAGAATTGGGAGAGGACAGTCATGGGCTAGATTGGATTTGACATGAGGACGGGGCATTTTTTGGACCTCAAATGCGCGATGGTACACTGGAAATGTAAATGAATATCTCGATGTTACGTAGACTGAAGATTTGAGACGGCGCATAAGTTGCGTCGTGCGTGTGAAAGAGATCACGTCCTCTTCCACCACAGCCCTTCACTTCTCCCCCCTCGCCTTATTCCTCGCTCTCCTCCTCTCCCTCTCCATCTTCCTCGCCTGATTCATACTCGGCACCGCCTCCTCCTCGCTCAACTTCTGCTTCTCCAGACTCGCCTCTTCAATCTCATCGAGCAAGAACCTGCCCATCTGGCCCGTCCGCCACTTTTGAATCATCCACAGCGCCGTGGCCTCTGTGTCTGCCGTGCCCCCTTTACCCAACCGGCCCGTAGCTCTCGCCATGGCAGTCAGCAACTCCACAATGTCGTTTGTGGGCGACGCATACTCCGAGTACAAGGTGGGGGAATGCAGATTAAGGTGGAATAAGAGGTAATCTGCCAACATGACAGGGGAGATGATTGTATCTTTGACAGAGCCACAGAGGGCGAGTTTCAGCATGGCCGAGGAGTCCGGCACATACGGGATGAAAACACCCGGTGTATCGAGCAGATAGACACCACCGCCGACACCCACTTTCCGTGCATCATGAACACCCTCTGTGTCGTCCTCGCTCGCGATAATCTTCACGCCCGACGCTACTTTGCGCGTCACACCGGGCTGCGCGCCCGTGGCTGCGACTTTTCCTTTGCCGACCCCTTGGGCGCGAAGCGCATTCAGCAGCGTGGATTTGCCAACGTTGGGCATGCCAACCACCATGACCCTGTGCCCGACCAACTTCCACCTCTGCTCCGCATGGCTTCTCAGCCATTCGAGGACTCGAGAGATACTCTTCTTGCCTGCATATTCGCCTGCTTCGTCCTTGCCACCACGGACGAAAAGGGTTGTGCCTTCTCTACCTTTGCCGCCCCAGCTCTGGATGATTTCTTCGTTGCGGTTATCCCTGTTTCCGCCACCTAGATCGCGTTTGGTGTAGACGATGAGTCGTTCTTTGTCCTCGAGTGCGGATTCGAAGAGGGGATTGCGCGATGTGAGTGGGATCCTGTAGTCGCGGCATTCGATGACGAGGTCGATGGAAGAGAGGAGCTGTTTCATCTTGGTAAGGCCAGATTTGTGGTGGCCCAGGAAGTAGGAGCGTGGGAGCGAGGGAATGGGCGGGAAAGCATGGCGGGCGATGAATGACATTGGGGGGGTGGCATGGTGTGTTGGAGGTTGGTAGTGGTACTGGTGTGTGTATGTGGGTGCATGTGTGCGTATGGGTAATGGGTGGTTTATTTTCAAGTGGACGAGTCATGGAATTAAAGGTCTTGGCAGATTCGCGAATCATGCAAGTGCCCTGGTTTGATTCCAACTAACCTGATTATGTGAACATGAGAATTGATAAAGAAGAAAAGGCAAAGGTGAAGAACTACAACTCAATAGCCACCTGCTCGGCTTCATCAAAGTCCCCTGTCCCCCTATCTGGAGCAGACCATCTGGACCTACTCCTTCTCCTCGCCCACCCCACCTCACCCAACATGAACCGTCCAAGATACAATACAGCATCTAACATCTCCTCTCCGGTAGGAATGATTTCTTCCTTTGGCAACAGGAAACCATAGTTGCCCGTGTCTCGCAATTTGATCTGATAAGAGTACTTGACTCTGAGCTCGTGATAGAAAAAGTCCAGCGCACTGCCTCCACTGGACTCGATGCGTGGAAGCACCGTCTTCTCCTTGTTGGCAAAGGCGACATTGCCTTCACACGCAGACGTTACTTTGTATGTGTGACCTTTGCGTGAGATGCGAATCGCTTTTGCGAGACCAAGACCGAGTTCCTCGAGATCTTCGAGGGAGGGCGGTTCATCATGGCAGGAGTAGGAGTATGGGTAGAGGATTTGCTGCGAGTACGAATGCAAATCCAAAAGGCCCACGAATTCGACATTGTTACTTTCTGTTTCATTCCTGGCCCAGTCTGCAAAGCGCTGCGATTCCACTCCCTCGAATGGCGCATCGCCAGCAAAGGATTCACTACATGGATTCGAGCCCATTTGATCGCCATTCCATTGGTAGGGAAAGCTGCGATCGAGATCGATGCCGTGGCAGAAGCGGAGACTTGTGGGCTGTCTGTTCTTGCGCCACAGGCGGTCTGTCTCCCAGGTATAGACGTAGCCATCGGGGTTCAGTGTAGGGACGAAGACGAAATCAAACTTTTCGAGGAGATGCGTGATCTCACGGTCTTTTCCGTAGGCATTGATGACACTCCAGGCTAGATAGTTGACGGTGCTCGTGGAGATCCATTCGCGGGCATGCAGACCGGCGGTGATAAGGACGGTCTTGCGAGGCTTGGTAGGCTCGTCCTTGTTTGTGGGGTGTACGCCTACGCGCAGGGCAGGGATGTCGCGTCCTTCATAACTGATGCCAATGTTGATTTTGCGGACGTGGGTGGTGAACATGGAAGACATGAGGCTCATCCAGGGGTCGATGACTGAGAGTGGTTGGTAGTCTTGGAAAAAGGGGTGGCCGTTGGCATGGTGAGGGGATGGCCGGAGGTTGGGTGAGAAGCGATTGGTGTTGTGTGATGGTGAAGCGGACGAGGAAGGGTATGTGTCGAAGATGGCTTGCACGAGGGCGGCATCTTGCATGAGGGGTTCATACGACGCGTGCAGCGATCGGGGAAGTAGACCCAGCAGTGATGGGAGCTAGCCACAAAGTCAGTCTGGGAAGTGAGTGCATCGAGGCAAACGGGGTGGGCGAGGAACAGGCTGCAACGTACGACGTCCTTGGCCAGCCGAATGTCGGCCCAGTCCTCGTTGAACTCCCATACGTCGAGAAACAGGGTGGCTGCTGCTTGGGATAGTGCGCGTGCCTCGTCGGCCGTCTGCATCTTGAAGCGCAGGACGACGTCGCCGCCATAGTGGGCCACCCACTGTTTGCCAGGTGCACGGCTGGATGGGCCGGTTGCAAGAGCGAGCATGCTCTTCTGCAGGTGGTTCTCGTGTGGGAGGCTCCCTATCCTGCGGATGATGGCTTCGGACAGTCTCCGCCATGGACTTGGGGGTGTGTGTGGTGTTGTGGTGTCATGGGCGGCCGTGGAGTCGGGGTCGTATGATGGCGAACGAGTGGAAGTGGAAGTGGAAGTGGAAGTGGAATCATGGGGAACGGCAGCGACCAGCGACGGTGCGACGAGCAGCAGGCTCAGCGCCGCAAACGTGGGCTGGCGCATAGTAATGGGGCCTCGCAATGGAGCGAACTTGAACTTGAAGGCGATTGTACGCAGGCTACCAGTGAGAGAGGGGTGGTTGACATGTGAGAAGGTGGTGGTGGTGGTGGTGGTGGTGGTGGTGGTCCCTAGTACTACTGTTAGTGGTAGTGAAAGATGTCTATCAATTTACTAGTCGGCTTGGTACCTACTGGTCGACTTGCTAGTCTATATCCTCGCGTCTGCCTGCTCTAGTACTCTTGTCCAGCACCTCTTCCGTGTACTCTACCCTATGTACCTACATTGCATGTACCTTGCATACTGCCTGGGTACGTATAGAAATGCTAGCAGCAGCCGGCTGCTGCTGGATGGTAGCCAGGTGCAGACATCTGGAGTCATCACCTGCTGCCTACCAAGGTTAGGTACAGGGCATGTACTGCCACCATGCCATGTACCTACTGCTGTACCTACCCAGGGTACTCTACTTGGTAGAAGACAGCCGGAGTCCAGGACAAGTTTGAAAGTGACCCGTCGCCCCTATGCACAGGAGCACAGCACACTGCCACTGCACAGGCAGCACGCCCGACCGGCCGCAAGCAACCGGCACTGGTGGCTGCACCAAGGAGCCAGCGAGCACCAATGCGCCCCGCCAATGCCAACGGGGAACTGGTCGTCCCCTTTACCCTACTAGTGTGTAGTGAATGTATGTATGTATGTATGTGTGTGTGTAGGTGTCTTATGTACCCTTATGTACATGCCTGGCTACCTACCTACCAGCCATTTCGCGGCCGTACCGGTACCTGTAGCGAAGATCATGGCCAGCCAGCCCCAAGGGAAATTAAAAAATCAAACTCTACTGTCCGTTTGCTTACCTATGCCACGGTCGAGCCGAGCGACACGACGGCTTGCTGCTTGCTTGTTCCCCCCCAGAGACCTGCAGCCGTTGTCTGGTCTTCCTCTCCCCCTCGCCCGACCTTACTTGCTTGTGGAGTGGCGGCTGGATCCTGGCAGCCAGCGCTACCTTCAGCCTTACGGTATAGAGACTCCGCAGCCCGTTGTGCCGCCGCATCGCCCAAGCCCATCTCTCCCCCACGCCCTCCACACAACACCCCCCTCGACCTTGCCCGCAGACCGTGCCATGTACCGCGCTGTGAACGGCCAGTCCGCGTACATGCCCTGCTAGCCCTTGGCCCGCTCCTCGCAGCAATGCCCAGGAGGTCGCTGCGACCCGGCGGCGATCGAGACATCAAACGGCGCAGCACTTTGGACCCAGCAGGCTTCTTCTCCAGGCGCGCCGACAGACATGACAAGAACGCGCCTTTGCACCGCGCCGCCTCTGAAGACGGTCGCCGTCCCACTACTGCCGACCTCGCTGCCAGGCCCTCGACGAGCCCCGACGACGACCATGATGACGACGACGACGACGACGACGAAGAGCATGACGAGCATGAAGAGCACGACGATCCCCCGCCCACGACGCGCCGTTTCAGCTTGATGCGCTTCCGCCATGCCTCGGACTCGCAGCTGTCCTTCAAGGCGAAAGAGCAGGCGGCCCGTGATGCTCCGCCCGTGCCAGCGGTGCCCGCAAATCCACAGCGTATGTGTTGTGCCCGTGAGTGACTGTGTAAGAGCGATTTGGGCCGACAAGCCAATTCGCCATGCACCCATGTATGGGGATGAGAGCATGCACTGATGTCAGCAGCAGCCCCGGCCATCATCACCACGGCGCCCACCGAAGTCGTGGATGCGGAACACGAGGCGCCCCCCGCAGCGTCAGCACCAGCACCAGCACCAGCACCAGCAGCGACGCCCAAGAGAAGCAGACTGCAGCAGCTGGGCTTGCGGCGACGCTCATTTGACCCTGCCATGTCGGATCGGCCGAACACGCTGCTGCGCAAGTCCATGGACAAGAGGCAGCGGAAGCCGCAGCAGCAGAAGAGCCACAGCAACCTGCTCGAGGGCAACGGCAGCAACCACGGCGGCGGCCTCATCGATCCCTCCTCGGCCGTCGCCACCAACAAATGGCATGCACAACGCGGCGACGATGCGCGAGAGTCGGTGGATAGCAGCGCAGGAGGCAGCTCACGTGGCCTTCACATCTCCTTCGAGCAGCAGCACCGCCATCACCACTACCAGCAGCAGCAGCAGCAGCAGCAGCAGCAGCAGCAGCAGCAACAGCGAGCGCCATCACGACCCAGTCCCCCGCCACGACAAGGCTCTGCTCGCTTTGCCTTTGGGCGGCGGAAGCAACGCGCCTCGCTCTTCCCACTGCCCATGAAGATTGAGCCCCCGCAGTTCCCCGACACCGCGCCTGCCACGCCACGCCCATCCACGGGCGCTGCCAGCTCAGGCTCCCCCGACCACTCGCCCACGGCCGAAAGCCCGCCCTGGACGGCGCGTCGTCTGCACCCTCATGGCGAGCCTCGCGCGCAGACCCCGCCCGTTGTTGCCCCCCCGCCCTCGTCCTCGCAGTTGGCCCTCGCAGCCTCCAGCTTGAATCTCGTCACCCCGGCCTCGCTCTTCCGCAACGACTCGACCAAATCTATCCATTCCGCTCACTCCCACTCCAACGCCAACGCCAACAATCACAGCCACCACGCCAGCCACGCCAACAACGCCAGCGGCCCTATGCGCATGGGCCTGCGCGGCCGCTCATCGACCATGGGCTCCATGGGCGCCCGCTCAGACGCCGGCTCGCCCACCCCACCCGGCGGCCTTAGTGGACGCACGTCGACGTCGACGGCGGGGCGCAGTAGTTTCAGCAACCTCTTCGGCCTGAGCTCAAGATTCCGTAACAATTCCGAGCCACATTCGCCGAGACATGCGTCGCCCGCCCACGGCTATCTAGGCAACTCTGGCCTGGCCTCGCACCACAACTCGCTCAACATCAGCCGCGAGACCCTGGTCCTGCCAGAGCGCGAAGAAGGCGAAACCCCAGGTCACTACCTCGAACGCATCGAGGAGAGCAACCCCGACAAGAGCATCATCGCCAGCTACCTCTCCAAGACGGACGATGCCTTCCTCCTCTCCGTCCTCCGAAGTTATATGCGCAAGTTTGCCTTCTTCGGCGACCCCATTGACATGGCCATTCGCAAGCTACTCATGCAAGTCCAGCTGCCCAAAGAAACGCAGCAAATCGATCGGGTCTTGCAGGGCTTCGCCGACCGCTACCACGAATGCAATCCCGGCATCTACACCAACGCAGACAAGGCTTACTTCATCTCCTTCTCCATCATCATCCTGCATACCGACGTCTTCAACAAAAACAACAAGCGCAAGATGCAGCGCCCAGACTACATCAAGAACTCGTCTTGCGAGGGCGTCTCTGAGGATGTGCTCGGCTGCTTCTACGACAACGTCGTGTACACGCCCTTTATCCACATTGAGGACGAGGTGGATCTCAAGAACATCTCGTCCAAGAAGACGAAGAGGACGGCTGTGCTCAAGGGACCGATGAACGACCCGGCAAGGAAAGCCGCCAAGGAGCCTCTGGATCCCTATACCCTCATCTTCGAAGGCAAGCTAGACGCTCTTCGGCCCAGCATCAAGGATGTGATGAACTTGGACGACCCCTACAACTACGTGGGCACATCTGCGACTCTAGATACTAAGAACATCTACAAGTCCTTCTCCCGGTACGGCGTGATTCAAATCGTTTCCTCCCGATCCAGACCAGAGGCATTCATGTCAGAAGCAGCCCAGGAAAATCCCCTAGGCACCTCGGTCGGCATTGTCGAGATGCCTGTGACCAAGGTCGGGATCCTCTGGCGAAAAGACACAAAACGCAAAAAGGCGCGCTCTCCCTGGCAAGAGTGGGGAGCTGTCCTCACGCGGTCCGGCCTCTCGCTCTTCCGCAACTCAAGTTGGGCCAAGAATCTCATGAGCCAACACGATGCTCATGTCAAAAGAGGCGAGATTGGGCCTGTCCTCTTTCAGCCTGCGCTGCCCGACTTCAAGCAGGATCATCTCATACCCATGGACGGCGCCGTCGCTCTGATTGATAATACGTACAGGAAACACAAGCACGCATTCGTCATGTTCACAAAGGCCGGCGAGGAGACCTTTCTGGCTGACAGCGAAAAGGACCTGAACGAGTGGCTGGGCGTGCTCAACTACACAGCTGCATTCGAGACCCTTGGCGTCCGTTCCAGAGGTATGATTGGTGGGCTTTATGAAGGCCAGCGCAATCGAGGTATTCGACGCCTGAACTCATCCCACTCTACCAAGTCGATAACCACCCCGACAGGCGAGGTAACGATACAGAGTGGAAAGATCGACAGCCAGTTCGCCCAGCAAATGGTCAATGCTCGTAAAGATCTGATGCAAGTACGCATTGGCGAATCCGAGGAGAAGCTTGCTCAGGCGATCAAGGCACTGGAAGGCAGGCTTAGGGACGCACGGCATTTGCAGATTCTAGCCCCAATTCAACCAAAGACACGGGAATTGGTCATCCACGCCGCCGGTCGACTAGCTGCGAAGCTCAAGTGGGATCGTATTGAGATTTGGCGAATGAAGTGCCATCGTGATATTTTGGCCCAAGAATTGGAGGACGAGAAGCAGGGCGCCGCAGACCGACAGGCACGGATCGATCGAATCAAAGAAGCGTCGGCGCCGCCGCCGCCACCACCACCCATGCCCCAACTTCCCCTACACCAATCCAGTCGAGCATCGAAAATCAGTGGCTTAGCAAGATTGACTTCAAAGACCAGCTCCATCAACAGCGGACCAAAACCCCCGCCCTCTCCTGGATCGCCTTCCCTCCGGCCTGGAACCAAGTCTTCTCGTGACACTGACACGGGAGGTGAAGATGCCTTCAGGACGCCGCCTGAGACTTCACGTCAATCGAGTCCACACGACCCTTCTGCACAGTTCCACATTCCCCCCATGTCCTTCAGTCCTCCCTCTTCCGATCGTCGGAGCTCCCTGGCAAGCTCCTCTGGTCGTTCGCCAAGGCTGTATCCCACAGACCATCGGCCATCGGTATCGACCATGGGAGGGGGCACAATCACCTCTGATGATAGTTCTGACGATGATGTGCGATATGCCACGCCGCCACCCGGCGACGAACCCAAGTCTCTAGACCCACGTTCGATGGATGGATTGCGCCCCGAACGAGCCGTTGAGTCAGATGGCGAACAGTCCCTTGCTGCACTAGCCGGATCGCCCGCTTCACGTACGAAGCAAAGGCGCAGTCTACATCGCACACTGAGAGAGAACTCTCATGGGAGCTCTTCTCACCGCCGCAACCACAAAGGCAGCAATTCTACGTCTACTGTTATGAGTGACGATACTAGTGAGAACGAAGGTCTTGCGCGCAGACATGCAAGTTTCACAGTCCATGGCAAGAAGGCATCGGTCATTCAGTTTGGGCCTGACTGGCACAATACTACTGCGGAGGAGAAACTGAAGACCAAGAAGCAGTTGCAGGAGGCGGCTGAGGCGGCTTCCGTCGACGACAGAGATGGCACCAGCATCATCAGCAGTGGCACCAACACCATCATGTCGCCCACGAGCGATGGCACCGACAGGTCGCTACCTCACAAGCTCTCGACGGACGCCATCAAGCAAAGGCACGTCTCGACTGCGACGATCACACCTGCAAGCTACCGCGAAACTCAGCAAAACGGCCAGGTCTCGGATGACGCCTCTGATATGAGCGACATCGCCGAGGAAGAACTGGCCAGAGAGCGAGATTCTGCCGAGCAGCCCACCAAGCAAGACAAACCCTTACCCATACACAACATCCAGACGGAGAACCTCAACTTCAATCCGCCTGTCTCAGGACATGGATGATAGCTTTTCATACCATGGGATCCCAACACTGTCTCCTCTCTTCTCTTTTGTACTGCATTCATTGGATGTTCCCAAAAAGTCTATTTACCCCCTGGCATAGTATCATCGCGATGAGCGTGACAACATTACCAGATCTTCTTTTTCTCTTTCCTTCCATGATATACACTCTTCTCACATTCACCCTCTCAGCTGCTCGTGTGCGACGGCAAGAATTTCAGTCAGTATCGCAATCTCCTATTACTTTTTTTATGATGGTGGCGCATTTCTCTTCCTTGTAGTATTGCATAGATAGGGTCACTCAGGGGTGGCGTTCTTCCGAGCAAAGGGTTCAACAGCCGGGTAACATAAGATATATGGATGGGCGCTGGCGTGGTCCGCGCGCGGAGCCGACGGGATTGAAGGATTTGCATTGGGCGGAAATGACGAGAGAGATGAGTGGGCATGTCGATTCAATCAAAGCACGTAAAGCAGGCGAGTTTGATAGCGAAAATGATATTTTTGCGAATAAGAGCGACTGAGTGTGAGCGGCGAAGACCGGCCGGACGCCATGGAGAGACTGCGTGAGCGTTTATTTGTGCTAGTAGTCTAAACCTGATAGTAACGCAGCCTAATATTAATCTTTTTCTTTTTCTTTGGCAGGACGGATAAGAAGTCGTCCTCTGTACGATTAAAGTGTAGAAGAAGAATCCTTGCCGTTTTTGTACTTGAGACATCCCCCAAGCCCATCACTCCACTGCACATCATCGAATGGCATCGCCCATCTACCTGCCTATCCGAAACCATACATTCCTTGGCTACATGCCTACCTACCTACAGGGAAAAAAAAACATAGCTGAGCAGCTCCAGCCCATCCTTCTCACAACCCGGTATACAATCTCATACCTACGGTACCTGGGTACATGTTCGGCCGCCCGCACAACTCGCACACTCGCGCGCAATCCCCCCTCTCGGTTCACACCGAAGCGAAGCGAAGCCCAGCTTGAAACCTCAGATGTAGCGAAAGCGCCGCACACACGGCAAGAACCTGTCGTGTCTGTGTATATGTGTGAGTGTGTGTCGTTTCGAGGGATGGTGATACATTGATGAATGGGGGGGGGGGGGGGGGGGGGATCACAAAGAAGTCGGCGTGATGATGATTCCATTGGACCCATGTCTACATCTGATCGCAGATATAGCCAGCCCGTACTGGTCGACTCGAGGCTTAATCCTAGGGCTGTGTTGACCTTCCACGGCTCCAACGAAAGTCGAGACAGTCTTGCGAGCATCGATGATAGTCGGGATTACGGACGGCAGCTAAACGTTGTCAACCCCGATCCATCCAGGGACTGAAAATCGTCGCCCGAGTGACAATTACTAGTTGCGAGCTCGACCTGGAGGATCTCGAGATCGCTTGACGTTAGTGAGGACAGTTGGATGTCAGTAGCTACGTTACGACCTCACGAATCATCAAACACCTCATCTGTACAGGAATATTCATCATAGCATCGGCGCACGGCGTTTAACAAGGTATTGCACATGTTCCGGTATCGCACCGCTACCGTCTTCAGAATTTCGTTCGAACCAGGATTCACTTCCATTAATGGCGCCCTCACTTTGTACACCAC